CTCGACCTGCCAATCGTGCAGTTCCGTCGCGTCATGCCGCCCGAGCCTGACAACCTCGTCACCCTCCAGCCGGGCGAGAGCCGCGCCCAGGACCTCGTTCTTAAGGAGCCTGCCGTGCCTGTCGGCGAGCTTGGTGGGAAGGCCAGCATCTACATTAAGGGTTCCTGGTCCAGCGTCTGGCCGACGACAGCTGATAAGCTGACGCCTGAAGAGTTGGAGAAGCTGCAGTTTGGGGACTCTGTGCTATCTGGTGGCGAGTTCAAGAGCGACGCCATCGAGGTGACGGTGGGCTAGCCACCTGGCCTATGTGTTCCTTGTGCCTTCTTGGCACAGCTAGTCTGATGATTTCACGAAACAATGACGAGGCCCCTGACACAGAAGCTACCATCTACAATGCAGTGACATGTTGAGGACCGTGAAATGTTGACGAACCAGATATCGCAACCGTCAGACGTCCGTGTCAAGTCAGTGGTGCGTGACGTCTTGGGACTGGACCACCACCCCGCTTTCGGCTGGCGAGGGGTCGTGAAAAGGACCGGCACCACCGGAAGTTTGACCCCATGTCCCCCCCCCCCTCCTCTCTCCCAGGTCCTATATGACCAGACTTTTGGTCATCGTACTGGCTGTCGTTTCCCAGAATTTAGCATGCACACGTATCTTTGTCGCAGTGTTGCCCGTCATTACGCTTCTCGCATCTCTTTGCAACACAGGACTGATCTCAGATATAGCTTTGAAAAATCGTCAATTCGTTTAAAGTCTTTTCGCCTTTCTTCCTCTCTCTCCTGCTTGCCGTTGCATTCTATGTCTAACAACCAACTTCAGAAGTAAATGCAAAATCGCCCTGGAACAAGCGCTGGCACTGGTGGACATACTTGATGGCAGGCTACCAAGAGCCACCCGGCCCTCCAGGACCCGATAGGTCCAACGCAGCGACACGCCCAGTCAAGCAATCGTCCGTGACGAGACAAAATCAGATGTTACGCGAACTCCAAACCACCAATGTGGAACGCTTCGAATATACAGGCCCATTGTGATTGATGCGTACCACCATACCATCATCACGAGGCTATGGATCCATAATCAGGACCGTCCAAAATTGTTTACTGTCCAATCCGATCACTGCTTGTCCGTGCGGCCCATGGGCGGCACACCAATGTGGTTACGGTTGCGGAAGAACAGGATGCCCTTGCCGGCACCCTCAGCACCCACGCTGGGCTCAACCCACTGGCACGAGCGTGCTGAGGTCCAAAGCGAGCGGATGAAGCCCCAGGGACCGTCGCGGACATCAGCACGGTAGTGCTTGCCCATGACGGGCTTGATGGCCTCGGTGGCCTCATCGGCATTGTAGAAGGGGATGGAGCTGATGTAGTGGTGAAGGACATGCGTCTCAACAATGCCGTGGAGCAGGTGGCGACCGACAAAGCCCATCTCTCGGTCAATGGTAGCGGCAGCACCGCGGACGAAATTCCACTGCTCGCCGGTGTAGTGGGGAAGCGAGGGATCGGTGTGCTGAAGGAAAGTAATGGCAACTGCAGGACGAATTAGCTAACGACCAGGACAGGGAGCGAGAGATGATGGACATACCAAGCCAGTGGTTCACCCACAAGTAGGGGATGAAATACCAGACGGCCAAGTTCTTCCAGCCAAAGGTGTTACCGAGGTAGAAGAGGCCGGCAATGGCAATAGCAAGACCGACATCAGACATGATGACCCTCCAAGCATCGCGGTTCTCGTACAGGGGGCTGCGGGGATCAAAGTGGTTGACGCCACCGCCGAAACCGTTATGCTTGCCCTTGCCACGGCCCTCACGGTGACGCTCGTGGTAGTTGTGGCCGGTAACGTTGTTGACTAGGTAACTGGGCCAGCCGACGAGCTGCTGGCCGACGAGGTGAAGCAGGGTGGCGATAGGCGTCTCCTCAGTCAGCTCAGCAAGCTCGTGAGCCATGGTACCGAGGCGAGTGGCGTGCTCCTCACGAGTACGGGGCACAAAGACCATGTCGCGCTCCATGTTGCCGGTGGCCTTGTGGTGCTTGCTGTGGGACATTTGCCAGCTGTAGTAGGGCACAAGGAGGGCAGAATGGAGGAACCAGCCGGTGACGTTGTTGACGCGAGTTGAGTCGGAGAAGGCGCCATGGCCGCACTCGTGGGCAATGACCCAGAGACCGGTGGCGAAAAGACCCTGAAGGATAGTGTACACGGCCCAAAGAGCGACACGGAGAGGGTACGAGGGAATGTACTGCGGCGTCACGAAGTTGTGCCAGATGGTGAACGTGGTGGCGAGGAGAACCATGTCACGGGCGATGTAGCCGTAGCCCCTGAGTGCAGAGCGCTCGAAGCAGTGCTTAGGGATGGCATCGCGGATGTCCTTGATGGTAAAGTCGGGCGGGGTGAACTCGTTGCCGTACGTGTCGAGGAGGACGCCGTAGTTGGGTTTCTCGCCAGAAGCATCGATGGAGGAGAGCGAAGACAGCGAAGTGGACGAAGCTGAGGGTCGGGGCGAGTCGTTGGGCGAAGCCACGGCAGTAGAGGGGGAGGAGAGATCAGCCTCGGTAGAGTTGGCGGTGCGGCGAAGCTGAGGGTTGGCCTTGGCCGGCAACGAGGATGTGGTCGCAGCCATGGTACAGGTGGCTCTTGGAGATACCGACTCGAGGTTGTTGACGGATACCAGGTGAGGGCAAGATGAGGGGGGGCGGGAGAGGAGAAAGGAGAGGAAGGAAAGAGCCACACAACCAAATAAAAGAAGGAGATGTTCTTTGAAACAGGTATTCGAAAAGAGAGGGAAAACTTATTTAGATGTAAAAACAGCCGGGGCACGAGCGGCAAGTTCAGGGGAGGCGGAGGGACAGGCGTCAGGTTAGCATGAGACGAGGATGGAAAGTCTTGAACAGTGCGGCGGGGTGTGCGTGGCGCTACCTAGGACTACTATCGTGCCATGTACCCTTCCTCGCCATCCTCTATCAATTCTTGAAAATGGCATGTACCGAGACGGGGGATGGCGAAAGACAGGAGGTGCCGAAAGGGTCATCGCCTTCCGCCATCCAGAACTACGGCGACTCCAGGAGAGCAGGAGCAGCCCCGTTCCCCCAACGTTTTGTTGAGAAGACGTGGGGTCGCCAGGGGTGGTAGGAGCAGGGTGCCAATGGCAGGGACGGTAGGCCCGACCGCGCTAAGAAAAGGTACTTCGATGTTGTCAAGCTTTCGACCCTGAAGACCGCCACGCTGGGCGCATTGCCCAGCGAGTTGGGTGCCTTTGGAAGGTCATCGATATCTCGCTGCAAGTACCTTTCCGCTTCTCGGTCGCTGACCACTGCCTGGATGTATTGCTGTTGATGAAGCTACCTACATGGTAGAACGTGAGAAAAAGAGACAATGCACAGTATTGCAAACATGGCACCGTTCATCTGTGCAATTGGCTTGTGACAAGCATGACGATGTGTTTGGCCTGTGACAGTGGTCACATCATGCTGCTTCACCTCAGCCAGCCAGCCATTGCTTGTCCACTGCCAGCGAATGCATGGAACCCAGGTACTTCGCACTGCACCAACTGACAACACACCGCTCTTCAGACAGCGACGAGTACTTCAATTTTGTACACAGTATCATTCTCAGCATCAAATCCACATTGGCCATCTGCTGCAGCTTTCAAAGCCCTGAGAACAAGCAGGCGAATTAAGTCTTTGGTTCGTTAACAAATCGAATCCTCAGACGTCCCCTGCTCATCGATCGTCCCGCCTGCGTGGCAGAGCTTCCAAGACTTTTGATGCCACTGCCATTGGGCTGTTTCATCCCGGTCTCTCCCTGGCCCGTCGTCCTAAAAAGCCTGTCTGGCCGTCTCTTGCCTCTATGGGACCGGGCTGCCTCTTGCCCTCGAGTCAGCTGCGCTAGCTAGCTCACCAGTCCCTCAAAGCGTGCGAGCGGGAACTTGATTTCTAGAAGGCAAGATCCTTTCAATGCCCAGGCACCGCGAGCGGGGAATGTCCCGTTTGACACGGTCGCAGGATGAGCATGCTGGCGCTCAAGACGGAGGCATCTGGCGTGCTTCAGAGTGGAGAAGCATGCGAAAATCGCAGCAATGAGGGGCAGCGTTTCCCCCTCCCTCCCCCCTTTTTGCCTTCGTCGCTGCAAAGTTGGATGGCCTTGTTACCGTTCTCTGTTCAGGCTCCTGCGGGTATGCATTTCTGTTGGGGATGTAGAGACAAACTTCGGGTACTCGCAGGGTTTTTTTTGTTGGGGCGTAGTCGGCGCTCCGGGCCTGGGCATCGGCCGGGGCAAGGCGCATGAGCGGTACTCACTGGCCGACCTCCCTTCTTTGACCAAAGATTGGAGGCATGTGACAGTCACTTCCGAGGACACAATGCTGTCCATCTTTGGTACTGCTGTCTGCAAGGCACGTCTCGATCACCTTAAACTCTCGGTTCAGGCAGGATGCCGAATCGTCCAGTGTGAACGCTCTTCACTGCACTCTGAGAGATCACCCCCCCCCCCCCCCCACGTGGTCCACACCCTCTTCGGCCATTTGTTCCGTCATCCGATCTTCTCCTTACCGACCGTCAGCGCCAAATCTGACCACTTGGCATGTGATTTCATTGCCGCTGAGAATATACACTCAATGATGGTCACATCATCAAAATCTTCTCACCAAGGCTGAATCGATGGATCGTGGCCCGAGGAGTACCAACAGCTGGACAGAGAGAGATAGAGCGTCGCACGACTCGTCTGACAGTCGAACGGTTGTCGCCTGCTTTCACTAACAACCTCCGCCCTGGTGTCTACCCAGGATCACTCCACGTCACACCACAATGGAGTTCCTAATGGCCAAGGTTTATGACAATCCGCAAGCCACCCCCCTCCTTGTGGTATGGCTGGAAAACCGGGCACAGTAGGCTAGAGAACTGTCGATCGAGGATCTACCCCGACGCGGGAGAATGGCCAAGGCGGCTGCTCTTTCCCCCTTTGATGGTATCAGACTGCCTCGCCTCAATCACGGAAACTCAAGCGTCTCATGTAACATATCCAAGGCTGTCCCTCTGGTCGTCTACCAACCGTGCCCATTCCAGCAACAGCCGGAACATGTACACTTGCATGTCCTGCTTGCGCAACGCCTGAGCCGCCCACGCCCTGCCCTCCATGGCGATGTTCTGCCCCAGCCCCGCTCCTCCCCTGTCCCCGCCAAAGAAACGCAACAGATCCCAGAGCTCATGCAGGCGCACGTCCACCGGTACATAGTGTCGCCACGCGTGTACCCGCTCCCCGAACCACGTCCGGAACAGCCCCGTGCGGTAGACAAGACTCCGACTCCGTAGGAACGGCAAGAAGCGACCACTGAAGCCCGCGCCGTCGAGGTCCATCAGGTGTCGATATTGCCAGTGCTGCTCGAACGGAACTCGCTCAAGGGGAGGCTTTTCGGCGCCAGCCCCCCAGAATGCTGTCTCTTCGGAGCGGCAGTCGTCTTGGTGGCATTTTTGGAACTCGTCCACAAAACCAATGTCGACCCTTGGTAGCTCATGGTCATATCCCGGGTTGCTCGCCGTCAACGGTGGGAGATGAGACGCTGCATGGACGAGCCGGGCACGCAATGAAGTCTGCCAGGACCCGCGTGCTGCATAGCCGTCAGACGCTGATCCGCGCCAAAACAGAGTATTCTCCTTCTGTTCCCACAAAACCCCTTTGTCGTCGGCATATGCGGTCTTATCGTTGAAGTTCCAAGGCGAAGGCAACAAGATGTCAGCGAACCCCTCGGCCTTTGTCTGACTGAACACAGGAAACGCCATTTTCGTCGGCATAACTGCAGCTGGCGACAGGAGGAATCCATGTAGGTAGGCGAGATCTGGTTGATGGCATAAATCTGTCGCGTTCGTCCAGTTCATAACGACGCGCGAGGCGCTTTCAAATATGGAAGCTGTATGCGGTGCAACACAGGCGGGACAAGCGTCTCGGCGACTCCACCAACGCCAGTTCCTTGCGGCTGATGCCGGTGCGCATGCAGGCGCTATAAAACTGTAGTAGATCTGGTTGCGCAACTCGTTTGTGAAGTAGGGTGATGGATCCATGTTGTCTCGCAGCTCGACCTCGGGCCACGTGGGCGTTCGAGAGGCATCAAAGGGACGTAGTTCTTCCCTCAGGGCAAGCTCTGATCGAGCCAATCGCGAATCTGCCTGGAGCTTATTCATGACTTCATACGGAACGGCCACTCTTGGCTCGTCGTTGAGGTTCATGACAAAGTCCAAGTCGGGAAGGTGTTGTGCAAATGGTTCAATCATCTCGCGCATGGCTGACATCATCCAGGCGTGGGAGCCGGGCACGCCCGGCATAATTTTAACCGTGCCATTTCGGATCTTGATACCTGCCATGCTGAGCCATGGCGTGTACGACAGCATGTGCCTCGTCTGCTCGCGGAGGGCAGCCGGCGAACGCCCCCAAAAAGGCTTCAAGTCGGTGCTGATCTGGCCAAAGTCATCAATGACAACCGACTCCTGTATCGTCGCATACTCGTACCACTTGTCAAAATTGGGTGGCGGCGACACCTGATAACGCCGACGATATTCTTCCACCGCTTCCACGAGAGATGTGCTGCGGTTCGCCTGAGCTACCCAGTGGTCAGAGCGGACGTTGGCTGCACTGATGAGATCCTGTATGGAGATGGCGCCGCCCAGCACTACATCTGGAGAACACACGAGAAAGGCCCCAAAGAGGACACCCATGAGGACAACGTATGACCTAGCGAGGAAGCGAACTAGACGGACATCGCTGGCAGGCAGTCCCGTGACGGTGGCGGCCCGAGGATCTAGGCTCAGGAGTATAACTGGGGTGAGAACAGTGTTGATAACTGCGACAGTCATCAGAGACTGATTGATCGATGGTGCGCTCGCCAATGTACGAGCTAGATGATGCGTGTAAGTGGCAACAGCAGTCATGGAGAGTGCAAGTGTGCTCGGGTGCATACAGGAGAGAAGATAGATGCCGGTAAGAAGAGTGACACAAGCAGTCGAACCATCGACGAGAAGGTCGCGTACAGCCACATAGTCAAGCATCAAAGCCCATCGGATGTTTCGAGGATGATAGAACGAGAACATGGCCAGGAAGGTTAGCACCCCGGCTGAGGCTAACAAAATGTGCGCAGTGCGGTACCATGCGTTGGAGATGTGTCGTCTACTCTCAGCCACCTGAGTGACGAGCATGGCATCAACGAGCACGGTAACGCACTGGGCGAGGGGCGTGTAAGGCTCCCAGCGAAGGGATCCAGCTGGGCATATAGCCCCTGCTGAAGACGAGGTCAGCCTGATGGTGACCCGTGAAGCGTGTGCCCAGATGAGCGCAAATATGGGGTATTGGGCGTAGGCCAGCTTGGCCCTCCAACCGCCGCTTCGGTCGCTGACGGCTTTGCCTGATTGCATCGGCTTTAGCAGGCTGGCGGCGTAAATTGTTGTGAATAATGGGAGTAGAGTCTCGTAGCTAGTACTTGAGCAGTGCACGGTACGAATGACACGCCAAGTCAGCAACACACGCACAACGATGCCGCTGACAGCGAAACAAGTGCCACGGAAAGAAGGGGTGCGGACACTGTCAGAGGTCGAGTCGATGTAGGCCTGCCACGTCGGCTTGGCAATGGGATGCGTGGTATCAGGGTCACATGTACCCAGATGGGACTTGTTGGTCTCCTTGAACCTCCCTGCTGCTGCAATGGCTCCTCCAGACATCAGAAAGGTCAGAATCGCAAAATGGATGGGTCTCTCTGGGTGTAGGTCAGCTTTTGTGACCAGTTCGCTTGCATCACAGTTCATGTCAGTCATACCGAATGCAGCGCTCGAATTATAACGCAGCGAGAGGCAGGCAACGCCAAAAAGAAAGAAACTATAAAGCATCAATGTCGACCATGCTTATGACGGCAGTGGCATATGGTCGGGACGGGGAAGACCAACGAGAGAGCCAAGCTGGCACGGACTTGCGAATCCACCATCATTCTCGCATGAGACAGATAGTAGAGCGACGACTGACTGCTGAGAAGCTATATACTCAAAAGCCGCGGTATTGGTTCCCATGGATAAGCATAGGAAGCGGCCTGGCATACTTTGGTTGCGCCGATACGTTGGTAGGCGCGTTTGCTGGCGGTCATGGACTCGACGTAAAAGAGGCCATCAGTCAAATGACAGCATTGTGTAGCCCAAGCGCGACGACACACAATAAGTAAAAGTTATAGGCAAGTTGAGCAGGAATAAAGACGTGAACGCAAGTTGCGGTGGCTGCCTAGTCATATATTTGGGCAATACGAAAGGAATGACGATGACCATGCGTATTTGGTGGGTAGGATCAGCACTAGTATATGAGTCCGCCAAATACCCGCAGTTCTCCTCCTTGAGTAAATCTGTTGTTACGAGACTTCCTCCATCAGGTCACTATGCCGTGTAACGCCAATTGTCAGCCCCGGGGGAGGGGGGGGACGCCAAATCGTGATACGCCGTGCAGCTTGCCTCAATCGGGGCCCTGGGGTAAGCAATGCATGCATGTTTCCAGGGCGAGATTCACCTCGAGATTGACACAATGCCACATCACATGCTTTCGCAAGATAAACGGCAGTCTCTTGACAATTCCGGGTGCAACGGCTCACTAACACCGACCTCTAATAGGCAAGCCGGCGAGGGGTAGTCATCAGTCGTGTCCCCGGATCTACGCTGCATGTGCCCCAAAGAGTACAAGCCAACGCTTGGAGGCGAGCCATCCCTATTACACTTGCACGCAGCGACTCTTTTGTCTGGCAGGGTTCGTTTTGTCTACCATGCTGTTGGGATCTACCTCACTTGCGCGCGACCTCTAATCGTCTGTACAAGGATTCCATCGCTCAATCATCATCAACTCGTGAACCCTTCAGCGGCACCATTCGCTGGTATCGCATTACCCGCCTAAGCGCGCTCCCGCCTCCTCGGCGCTGCGCGGATAATGTCGTCGACTCGGAGGAGAAGCTGTTAATCTGTTAGCTAAGAGGCACAATAAATACTGTGGATTATATGATTTCACCTCTGCCGCCTCACTTGCGGAGGACACCACCGCCTTCTTCAGCTTATAGCTCTCTACGACGCCAAGATCCCGCATATCAGCAACGCCACCCCCAGGCGACATCAGGTCGAGCCCGTAGGTGGTCATGCCGTCGTAAATGGCTTTTCGAAGACGTGCCACCAGCTCACCCGAGTCCAGACCCGCGTTGTCGGCAAGAATAGTCGGCAGTTGCCTGAGCGCCGTGGCGAAACTGGACACAGCCATCTGCTTCTTGCCCTCGACACGGGTGGCGGCGCCCTCAACAGCCTTGGCCATGACCATCTCGGCACACCCGCCGCCTAGCGTTGTCCTGGGCTCCTTGACTGTTTGTGATAGCACGGCTAGGGCATCGTGCAAGCTGCGCTCCGCCTCGTCCAGCAGCTGGTCGGTCGCACCGCGCAGAACAATGGTGCAAGCTTCGCCCGCGCCGACACCCGAGAACTTGACCAGAGTATCCTCGCCGATGATGACCTCCTCAATCAGGTCGCAGTGACCCAGCTGAACCTGCTCGGGGTGGTCAAAAGTGGAAGTGATCTCGCCGCCAGTGACCAGCGCCAGCCTCTCGATACCATCAAAGTCGGCATGCTCAATCGACATGATGCCGGCATCTGTGAAGAGTTGCTCAGGCCAATTGTAGATAAGTTGCCTGTTGATGAAACAGTTGACGCCATGTGCCTTGATCTTCTCCACCTTAGCCTTCATCTTGTCCTTCTCCGCCTTCTCAAGCTCGGCCAGCTTGCTCGTCGAACCGACCTTGACGCGAGCGCCAAAGATCTTGACCTTGTCCGTGTCCATAGACGTGTTGGCGACGAGAATCTTCGCATTCTCGAGTCGCTTGGGCTGGTTGACACCAATCTTCTTGTCGAGGATGAAGCCTTCGTCAAGGTACGAATCGCTGAGCTTACCGCCGGCCTTCTTGATGATCTGGATGTGGCTGAGGTCCGATGACTGTTTCAGGCGCAAGACGGCATCGCAAGCGAGCTCGGCAAACTGATCACGGTCCTGGGCAAGGACCTTGGAACTTAACGTGGTCCTGGCGATAGCAACCAGATCCTTGCGGAAAGCCTCGGGGTTGTTGCTGCGGTCGACGGCAGCGTTCTCCAGCGCCTTCAGGGCAGCTTGGCTTGCTAATCTGTAACCCTCAATGATGGTCTGGGGGTGGATCTTCTTGTTGACGAGAATCTCGGCCTCGCGCAGCAGCTCGGCGGCGAGGACAGCCACGGATGTAGTGCCGTCACCGACTTCGTCGTCCTGCACCTTGGAAATGTTGACAAGCACCTTCGCGGCCGCGTTATCGAGCGCAATGGACTTGAGGATAGTCGCGCCGTCGTTTGTAACCATGATTTCACCAGTAGAGCTGGGCTGTTTGTCAGCCAAAGCGCCCACCGAAATCGATAGGGGCAACTGCAACGGTGTAGGAGGGGTAGGCAGACATACCCGGATTGCAGGATCTTGTCCATGCCCTTGGGGCCGAGCGTACTCTTCACAAGATCACCGACGGCGATGGCGCCGACAAAGGCAGAGAGGCGAGCGTTCTCGCCCTTCTCCTCGGTCGTGCCATCTGCGAAGATCTGAGTCGGGCTGAAAGACGACTGCAGAGGGCACGGTTAGCAGGGCCGAGGACAAGGGGGGGCAGGTCTCAACGGAAAACGTACCATAATGTGAAAATGTCGCAGAATGCGTGCGATTCGACTCGGTATGACAGGGAGACGTGCCGCTGGGTTCTTCTCGCCGTATCGTGTGTGTGGGCAGAAATGGGCAGAAGGGGGTCGTCGATATGCCTGGTACCTTACCCCGATGTGGTGATCTAGGAGCTTCTGGAAATTTTTGGTTCAGCCTGCCCTGTCCCCTCGTTGGTGGGGCTCGGGGTGAGTGGGAGCTTACCTGAGCTCACCGTCTTTGGGCACTTCTGGCAGGAGCCTGGGACGTGTTCGCGTGGCTGACAGACGTGGGCAGTGGCTGAGCTGTGCGTCATGTGACCAGCGCGGGGCCGAGCGGGGTCCTTCCCACGCCTCTCAGCGCAACTGCCCCTGGAGCCCACACATTTGGCTGCTTGCCTGGTGCCCGAAAAATTGCCAGCCGAAAAAAAGACAGACGTCTCGGACCTCTCGCGAATCCCCTCAGCAGCAGATCTCAAGGTGCGCAAGGATAGCCCTCGACTCAAGGCTTTTCGACTGCTCACTGACATCAGGCACTTTACCGCCAGATCGTCTTGCCATCATACAACCAAGGAAGAGCGCCTTATCCCTTCCCATTTGCGCGCCCACCACCGATCGATCATCCCACATTGCATTTGCGGGGCAACACCAGCAATAGACAATAATCGTTTGGTCGACACCGCTTCCAACAAACACATACCCATCACACCAAAACCAGCTCGACGACGATAGGCACCGTTCACAGGAACGCATCACCCGACTCGCAACCGCAATCATGGCGCCGTCCTACGAGCACCTTCGCGAGGCAGACCTCGACGAAGACGAGTACGATGAGGAAGAGATCGATATTTCCGACCTGCGCGAGAAGTACGAGGTGCAACTCGAGCATGGCTACGACACGTTTGTCGTCATTGATGGCCTTCCTGCCGTCACCGAGGAGCAGAAGCCCAAGCTGGTCAAGTTCTTGCTGAAGAAACTGAACCAGGTCGGCAAGACGCGAGAGGACCTCATCTTCATGCCCATGGGTGAGGATGGCCTGTCTCTAAGGTAGGCGCACCCCAACGACATGTGTCTCACAGCTCGCCGTTTTGCTCACAAGTCTCACAGATTCGCCTTTGTCGAATACTCTTCCGCCGGCGAGGCCGCCGCTGCCGTCAGGGGCCTCGACATGGTTGCCCTCGACAAGAAGCACATCCTGCGTGTCAACAAGCTGACCGACATTGACCGTTACGGCCGCGAGGGCCGCGTTGACGAGGACTACACCCCTCCTCAAATTGAGGAGTTCCAGGAGAAGGAGCACCTCCGATGGTGGCTCAAGGACCCCAGTGGCCGTGGCCGCGACCAGTTCGTCATGTACCGCGGAGAGTCCGTTGGCGTCTGCTGGAACAACGAGAAGGAGCCCGCCGAGACCGTGGTCGATCGTCAGCACTGGACCGAGAGCTTCGTCCAGTGGTCACCCCTCGGCACATATTTGACTTCAGTTCACGCACAAGGTGTTCAGCTCTGGGGCGGCGCTTCCTGGTCCAGGCAAAGGCGGTTCGCGCACCCCTTTGTCAACCTCATCGCTTTCTCCCCCAACGAGAAGTACATCGTCACTTGGTCCGCTCGCCCCATCTCCATTCCCGAGGACGGCCACCCGGCGCTCTCTGTGGACGATGACGGCAAGAACTACGTCATTTGGGACATTGAGACGTCCAAGCCCCTCCGATCCTTCGCGAGCCTTGACGTCCCCGGTGCTGAGGGCGATGATGGCGTCGCTAAGCAGCGCAAGTCCCCCTGGCCTGCGTTCAAGTGGTCGGCCGATGACAAGTACGTCGCCCGTCTGACTCAGGGCTCCTCCATTTCTGTTTACGAGCTCCCCCGCATGGGCCTGCTCGACAAGACAACGATCAAGATTGACGGTGTCATGGACTTTGACTGGGCGCCCGCCACCGTTCACCGCGAGGGCGTCAAGAACTACGAGCAGCTCTTCTGCTACTGGACTCCCGAGATTGGCAGCAACCCCGCCAAGGTCGGTCTCATGAGCATTCCCTCCAAGGAGATCGTGAGGACATTGAACCTCTTCAGCGTCAGCGATGTCAAGCTTCACTGGCAGTCGGACGCCTCCTTCCTCTGCGTCAAGGTCGACAGGCATTCCAAGTCGAAGAAGTCACAGGCCACATCGCTCGAGATTTTCCGCGTCAAGGAGAAGGGCGTTCCCGTCGAGGTCGTCGACACGATCAAGGACACCGTCGTCAACTTTGCCTGGGAGCCCAAGGGTGACCGCTTCGTCATCATCACGACCACCGAGCCCGCCGGCCCCACAGCCGTCGCGCCCAAGACATCGGTCGCCTTCTTCTGCCCGGAGAAGAACAAGGGTCCTACGCCTGGCAACTTCAAGCACCTGCGCACCCTCGACAAGAAGAACAGCAACTCCATCTACTGGTCACCCCGCGGCCGCTTCGTTGTTGTGGCTACCGTTCACAACACGCAGAGCTCCGACCTCGACTTCTACGACCTCGACTTTGAGGGCGAGAAGCCCGAGTCAGACAAGGACCTGACTGCCAACCTTCAGCTCATGAACACGGCCGATCACTACGGCGTGACTGACGTTGAGTGGGACCCCTCCGGTCGCTTCGTCGCCACCTGGTCGTCCTCGTGGAAGCACAGCGTGAGTATCCCTGCGCATCATGCATCTATATGCCCCCTCTCCAAAGATGGATGACTAACACCTAGTAGATGGAGAATGGCTACCATATTTACGACTTCAAGGGTGAACAGCTACGTGAGGAGCATGTGGAGAAGTTCAAGCAATTCCTCTGGCGCCCGCGCCCCGCGACGCTGCTCACCAAGGAGGAACAGAAGCAGATCCGCAAGAACCTGCGCGAGTACAGCAAGACGTTCGAGCAGGAGGACGCCGACCGTGGCGCGTCCGCGGACCGCGAGGTCGTCGAGGCCCGCCGCCGCCAGCTCGACGAGTGGCTCGCGTGGCGCGAGTCGATCGAGGAGGAGCTTGTCGAGGAGCGCGCCTACCTCGGACTGCCCGAGGACCCCATCGCCGAGCTGCTTGCTTCCAAGGTCACCAACCCCGACGCCGAAGAGCAGATCATCGAGGAGATTGTGGAGGAGGTCATCGAGGAGACGGAGGAGATTCTGCAGTAGAGGAAGCATATGAGGATGACGGGGTTTGGTGTGGTGTGGCCTGGTGGCGGGGGCAAAAATTTCAGTTGGCTTCTCGGTATGACGCGTTCGACTCGGGGCAAACGACGACAACGACGGGCGGAAGGATCAGCCAAGGCGGATAATGGACTGATACATTGCAATGTCATTTTTTTGTACGAGCATTAGAAGCCTCGCATGGCATCGCTTCTCACAAAGAAATCTGGGTACACGCTATGTGGCGGTGACGATGAGACGTGAACGTAAAGCTGTCGGCGATCATTTGAGTGGACGGAACCCACCGTTTCCTCCATTGATTCTTGTTGACGAGATGTCCAACCTCTGCTCTATACATTATCATCTCAAACATATATCAACCACCTCCCCTGTGCATAGATTGGCGCCAGCGAAGTTCCCAGGTAGCATCGCAATAATTAATCCTCCTCCCCTCCGTTCTTTTTGTCCAAAAAGAAAATCATCAAGTCGGCCGTAGGTCACGTAGGCCCTCGCGGAGCCTTGTCGCTCGAGACGGGGTTTCATGCCTTGCCGGCCTCCCTGAGCCAGCGCATCCAGCCTTCCTCATCACCGGATCCGCCGGCCAGCGCAACTTTGCCGTTTTTCGTCGGTCCACTCTCAACGAGCTTGCGGACCTCGTCGCCGTCGCGCGTGCCCGATAGCGCCATCTCCTGACGTAGCAGCATGGCTGTCGCGGCACGGACGAGGAGGGCATCACCTTCAAACACATACACGTCCCACAGCCGTGCGCACTCGTCCATAGCAAGGTGCGACGTGCCGAGTCCAGTGAAGATGGTGTTGAGATACACTTCCGGGTCGGCATCGGGTACGTTGCGGGTCAGGTGTTCATGCAATCCAGGAGATTTGACCTGGAGCGTCTGCAGGACGAGGTTGTAGGCTGATGCCTTGGCGCCTGGGTCCGATGCATAGAAGCCGAGCGAGAGCGGGCGGTTGAGAACATTGGCGAGAGCAATGAATGCCGACGATGGGTTCGGCAGATTAAGCAAGAGAAGAGCTCCGACAGTCTGCTCATGTCAGTCACTGGCGGGGGAGGGTCATGGAGGGGGCAGGTTACTCACGTTGCAGCCCGCTACGTAGCCGATGTCGCTGCGATACATGGCGTATGCTGAGAGGAGATCAACCAGGCTCTGGTGTAAAGGCCCGCCGACCTGAAAAATACGCAGATCTCGCCACGTATTCTCGTTGACATCCTCTCTAATCTTGGAAAGCCAGGCCTCCTTCCTGATGTCTTCTGTGTCGCCCTTGCCTGCCTTGACGCGACTGTCGACATCATGCGCTCGGCCGAGCGCCGCCTTGAACGAGTTGGGCGTCAACCCGAGCTCGTTGCCAATGGCGCGAGACCACACTACGCCTCGACTTCGCGAGGCCACGCCTCGCCACCAAAGCTCGCGGGTTCGCCGCTCCCTAATGGCATCTGACCACCGCGGTATGATGCTGTCTTCCCATATACGCATCAAGCCATTGGCCGTGACGTCACGGTCGTTGGATTTCGTCATCTTCTCTGCTTCCCGTCGACGCTCGGATTCCGCACTTCGTGCCATCATCTTCTCGTATTCTTTCCAGTGCTTCTTGTCTTCGTTTGGATCTTTCGGTGGCAGCCACGAGGGCCGCGTACGCCCGAGGACAGCTTCCTTCTCCTTCGACATGGGCATAGCGTCAATCATCATGTTTGATTGGCGCAGCGAAGGCAGATCTGGTAGCGCCGACTTATGCCGCTGTTCCTTGCGACCTCGGACGTAGGAGAAGCTATCAATGTCACCGCTGTCGTCGGCGTGCTCCTCAAGCTTCTCCGTCAAGGCCTTGGCTTCGGCGCTGAGCCCCGAATGTACGGCGCTCCAGCTCTTGGCGCGGGCCTTGAGTGGCTCGGGTATATCGACGTCGTCTGGTTCGGCGGCTGGGGATGTGGAACGTGCGGCAGCATCGGCATCCGTCTTCCAGGTCGGTGATTTGAGGGAGCCCTGGGCCATGGCTATGGCGGGTGTGCCGTTGCCCAGGCTGCGCACGCGCTCTTTGGGCGCCCTATCGCTGGAGGGCGCGCGAGAGGAGGATCGGCTGAAGGCGCGCTCAGCCTGTGGACGGGGCGAGATGGGGACGTTATCGAGAAGAAGGCCGTCGGGGATGTTGTCGTCGTCGTCGTCGTCACATTCGTTCTCCAGTTCAAGAACCGATTTCCTGTCGCGGTCTGACTGCCAGCTGCCGCGCCGCGGACGCATGAGCGTGTTCGGATCTCGCGGCACAAGAGACATGTTGGGGCTCGGGCTGCGATGGCGGCGGTTGGGGAACGAGAGAGACGTGGCGGATCGACTGAGAAGGCCCCTTGGATGGGGCATGCCCCTGTGGCCGTCGGCGGAGCGAGCATTGAGGCTGGTGCTTCGGGTGTTGAAGGTTCGCGGGTCTGTCTGTAGCGTGGACAGGGCCGGCCGTGTACGAGGGACAGGGCCGATCTCGGGTTTCCTTCGTCCCTTTGCGCCTGCTGCGAGGTCTCGCGTCGCGGGAGGGGATATGGGGCTTGTGAGGCTCGTGAGACTGGTGCTCGACTGCGGCGTCGTGGCTGCATGCTCTGCCGCAGAGGCCGCAGCGGCGACCGCATACCCGGGATGAGGAGGATATCGCTCGGTGGAGTAGGAACGGCCGTAGGGGTTGGATGGCCGGGTACCGACAGAAGGTCGGGCGTGAGGATCGCGCAGGTGTTTGGCGAAGGTCTTGGTAGCGAGGGTCGTATCATCCTCGAGGCCAATGTCTTCAAAGTGGCTCACGTCGTCAAGTACGCTGTTATCGTCGGAGTGGAGGGACATGGACTGGAAGGAGGAGGATTTGGACGAGCCCAGGGCCGTCATGTCTGGAGGCGACCCCAGAGCGGCACTGGCGGAAGCCGGGCGGCCCATGGGCCCGGCTACTTCTTCGTGGTACATGGAAGTCGCCGCTCAATCGGTCTGCATGGCGGCAATGGAGATGGATGGAGATTGCGGGCGGGTAGATCGTGACACGACAGGTGGGAGAAGAGCGCGGCAAGGCGGTAGGCAAGCGACGGCGGGTCTGGTGATGTGACAATGGTGATGGTTGGTCTGTCGGGTACGGAATCGGCAGCAACGGTTGTTTCTTGCTAGGACGTTTGGTCGGAGTGTTCAGGGTTCAGCGAGGTCTCTTGCCTCCATTATCGACTAGTCGTGGGGGCGTAGGGAGATGTGATTGAATGTTTTTGCTTGAATTGGAATTGACGGTGACAGCTGGCGCTGCTGCCAGGCTGCTACTCTTGATCAAGGAGGGGAGGAGATTGACGTGTGGCGCAGGGCTGCTGTTGACGTCTCTCACTGGACGGGCGGCTGAGGCTTTGCGAGAGCGACCTCAATTGTCCCTCCATTGACCGGGCGGCCCACGGACAGGAGGCCTGGCCGCCTCAGCAGACGCGGCAGATCGGAGGCTCTGACTTTTGGACGGTCTCGACTCTTGCTTACCCCTGATTCAGCGGAGCCGTGCTGGCTGAGGGCGGGGGGGCGCCCAGTGGGCATCGACGCCGGACAGGGATAAGACGTGTGTCCTGGAGCTCCATGGTTGGTCTGCCCACTGTTGGTGGGTGCCTCCACTGCTGAAAGTGTGCCTCCACAGGCTGTCAACTGGCTAGAGGGCGCCTGTCAAGCGAAGGGCCTGAAGGGGAAGTGCATCACATGCAGCAAGAGGGGTCACAGTCTTGACAGTGTCTTGTTGTCATTTCCGGTGCTGCATGAAGCCCTGAGGTGGTCGTCCAGGGACACCAATCACACTGACTCGCAGCTGACCTTCGGACATGCTGCACCTTGTTATTTTGCATCCGAAAGGATGCTGCTGTTGGTCTGAAATAGTATGAGAAGAGTTCTTTTTTTAGTGCGTTGATTCCCTTGCTTCAGTCCTGTCAATGTGTTGACCGGTGTCAGGCAGACTTCACTTGGATGTAGGTAGCTGGCTGCTGCTCTCTAGGAACCTGAGACCCCCAGAGGGTGGGTTTCCAGGCATCAGCAGCAAAGTCCCCAGTCCGGAACCAAGCACGGTGCGTTCTCGCCCTGATAAGCAACACGCCGGTATCGCAAGCCCCGTGCAGCGGGCTATCGCAACAACCCATCCTCATGACGCAAGTGCAACAGCTCCCCGCGTGATCGAGCTCCCGGCTCTAACGGCAGACATCACCCACGATTCGATGATTTCCACCACGACCCAAGACCTGGCCGTCTCGTGATTCTTTCTTTCCTCCCTCTCCAAGACCGAGACTGGAAGACAGCGGCCATGACTTCCTCATACACCAAGGCGACCCCTCCGCCATACGAATACAGCTCCCTGGCCCCACCTGTTGGAGCTCTGCCTGCCAGGCGAACACAATGTCGACAGCTCCGGATCCGTCGCCGTCGCGGCATGAAGCTCCTGGCCATCTCCGGCTTGGCCTGTCTCGTCTTCCTCGTCTACGCTCAGTGGAACCAACTGACAGTCCTGCCTTCCTGGCGCCAGTCTCGTCTCGCCGCTGATCGTCTTCAAGAGGACCTTCAAACGTGCACCAAGCTTCGACGAAAGCCTCAAGACCCAATTGGCCTTGGGCGTACCAAAAATGCACGCTATGTTGACGGCCAAAAGCCCACCCTCATACAGAATGCGACAATCTGGGTCGGTGAGCCTGTGGAGAGCGCCTCGCTCGAGGATGCCCGCGCGGGCAAAGGCTATTCGTGGACCAGTGGCGATGTGTTTGTGCAGTTCGGACTGATCCAAAAAGTCGACGCTCACATCAGCCTCGAGTCTCTCCCTGGCGACACCCAGATCTACGATGCCAAGGGTCGCCAGCTGACGGCCGGCATCATTGACATGCACTCGCACGTTGGCGTCAGCTCGCTGCCCGACCTAGCCGGTACCGAGGACACGAACGAGCTCTCCTCGGACATCACCCCCTACGTCCGTTCTATCGACGGCCTCAATCCGCTCGATCCGCAGTGGCAGGTCATCAAATCCGGCGGTGTCACCACCTCGCTGGTTCTGCCCGGCTCTGGCAACAACATTGGCGGCGAGGCCTTCGTTTTCAAGCATGCGATTGGCGAAAAGGATGGTCGCCAGGAGATCTCTGCAGCCGATATGCTTGCCGACCCTGATCGTAACTGGCGCTATATGAAGATGGCCTGCGGCGAGAATGCTAAGCGCGTGTACGGCAAGGTTGGGCGCGGGCCCTTCTCGCGCCTCGGCGAGAGCTGGGAGTTCCGTCACGCATTCGAACAGGCTGCAGCCCTCGTGCGGAAGCAGGACGACTGGTGCGACCAGGCCGAAAGGTCCGGCATTGACAGCCTAGACGACTACCTGCCGCGGGATCTGCATTGGGAGAGCTTGGGCGCTGTCCTTCGGGGTCAGGTTCACGTCAACACGCACTGCTACACGATTCCTGACCTCGAGGCCTTCATCGACCACACCAACGAGTTCAAGTTTCCGCTGCGGGCGTTTCACCATGCCCATCAGACCTTCTTGGTGCCTGAGGTAATGCAAAGTCCCTGTTCTGGGGTTCCAGTCATTTTTCTTTTTGCTAATTATTCGATAAGATTCTCAAGCGAGCTTGGGGAGGTCGCCCGCCCGCTTCCGCTCTCTTCGCTGACAACATGTATTACAAGACCGAAGCCTACGTGGGATCAGAGTATGCTGGCAAGATTCTGTGGGATAACGGTCTCACTCCAGTTTACGTCAGCGACAACCCCGTCATCAACGCTCAGCACGTGCTGTTTGAGGCCGCGAAGGCATACCGCTATGGTCTCCCCTACCATGTGGCGCTCGCTGGCGTCACGACAGCGTCGGCAGAGCTTCTTGGCCTGGGAGAACGGCTGGGCAAGATCAAGCCAGGATTCGACGCTGACATTGTGGTCTGGGACAGTGATCCGCTCAGCGTCGGAGCCGCGCCTGCGCAGGTCTGGATCGACGGCTTCGCGCAGTTTGAGAACCCTGTCGAGCTCGACAAGCCTCTGAAGGGGCCAATCGCCGCACCGCATTCGAGCGTAGCTTTGAGCGGCGGCATCTCGCATCACAGAAATATTGTCTTTACTGGTGTCACCAAGATTCTGCTCTCGGACGGCAAGAGTCGGACGACCTTGAACGGACCCGTCAACGTTGTCGTGTCCGAGGGCGAAATCACCTGCACAGGTGAGTGTAGCATGGAGGTCAGCGTTGCTCGCCAAGGGCCGTCGCACGAGTTCATCGCCCTCGAGGACGGCCACCTCACGCACTCATTCACAGCGTTCGGGTCGCAGATCGGGCTGAACGCCATAGATTACGAGGGTAATACGGCCAACGGAGAGAGCACCAAGTTTAGCCGCGGCGTCGACGGTTTGGCACTAGACACGAAGAAGCTGCGCGTGGCGCATCAATACGGCATCACGCGGGCCGTCTCGGCGCCAACGTTCTCTGGGGGACTCACGCACCGGGGCACCAGTGTGGGATTCGTCACGGACGCACAGCACGCGCTCGAGAAGGGTGCCGTTTGGTCGGAGGATGCTGCTGTGCATTACACTCTCACTCTTGACGTCAAGCAGGGCGATACGCCCTCCATCTCGACTGCAGTGGGCGCGCTGCGCAAGGACCTGCTAGAAGCAGTCTCGAACAACGACACAATCTCCGACCGGCACTCGGAGCAGGCTTTCCTGAAGGGGGTGGTGGCAGGCGAAGTGCCTCTGGTGTTGACAGTGCACAGCGCGGACACGATTTCTGCCGTGCTGCGACTCAAGGCCGATGTTGAGGACGTCATTGCCGCATCGGAGTCGCTCTCGACAAAACTCCGCATCGTCATCCTGGGCGGAGCAGAGGCGCACCTTGTGGCCTCTGAGCTCGCAGCGGCCGACGTTGGCGTGGTGCTGGCGCCGTTCCAGTCCTACGCCACGTCGTGGGATCAGCGACGTGCGCTCACGGGCGCGCCTCTGACGAACGGCACAGCGATAGACGCGCTCATTGATGCGGGTGTCACGACGGCCATCGGGCTGGAGGAGGACTGGCTCATTCGCGACCTGGCGCTGCTTGCGGGCATCGCCTACCACAACGGCGGTGGTCGCCTTTCGGAGAAGCAGGCGCTTGACCTCGTCTCGTCAAATGTGTACAAGCTGCTAGGCGTCAAGGAACAGGCGGAAGACGATAGGCATTTCGTGGTGTTCGAGGGCAGCCCGTTGGACATTGGCAGCCGTGTGCGTGCGGTTGGAAATGGAAAGAAGGAGACTACAGTCATGACATGACATGCATGGTAGGAAGCAAAAAGAAACCTAAGCTTTGAAAAATCAACAAAGGTTTACGAATACGATTTCCGCATGATGAAGAATGATGGTTCTTTCCGAAACGTCGACTTGTTTGTCGCGCGCGCGGTTGATGTGTAATCAGGGGCGATACAGTGGACTGACTCGACAGGCCAGGCCTGAATCCGTGCCGGCATCCGTCTGCTGACGAGATGATGAGCTAGAGGTTCGCATTCCCAGGGGACTTGAAGCAAGGTCCCTTAGTAGGTCAGCTCCCGCGCGGCTATGACACGCTGCCTTCCTACATCGGGTTCTCACCTAGGTAGGTAGGTACCTAGGTAGAGAGGTACCGACCTACCTATATGTACCTAATGGACAGGCAAACCAGGTGCCACGGCACAGCAAGTGAATGGGCGGCCATTCCGAGGTACTTGCTGAAGGTTCCGAACCCGAATGGCGCCATGTTCAAATTCGTTTTGTATCATCGGCAAATCGAGTCGGATCGTGAACCGAACGAGGGGCACCATCGCTGTATCGCGCCATACTTATTCCACGTCTCAGCCTTGCCACACCTGCCTGTCTTACCAAGCTGAATTCGTCGCGGGGTGTGCAGACATCCTTTAAGTGCCCCAAGAAGCCCCCCCTTCAACGCTTGGCCATGCATCTTCGACAGCTCGTCAAACCTGCCAAATACCTTGTCGCTTCCTATCTCATGTTTGCAACAGCCCGACATTTCTTGTCACGCACGTTTTCGTCAAACTCCCACACAACATCACCGACCATGACACGCGGCGCCGTGATCTGCATCTCCCACGGCGGAGGTAGGTTCAAGCGCCTTCCATGACCAATGGCTCGCGAGTGAGAGCGTGCCACCGCTGACGACGCGACACCAGGTCCGATGCCGGTTCTCGGCGACCCGGGCCACAAAGACATTGTCTCGTCGCTCACGAAGCGCGTGCCGAAGCTCCTGCGCCTCAACACGCCCCAAGCACCGCGCGCCATCGTCGTCGTGACGGCGCACTGGTCGACGAGGAGGCCGACCATCTCGTCGGCGACGCACCACGACCTCTACTACGACTACGGCGGCTTCCCCAGCGAGGCCTACGCGCTGAAGTACCCGGCGCCCGGGTCGCCCGACGTGGCGGAGGAGGTGCGGCAGGCGCTCGCGCAGCAGGGTCTCGACCCCGTGCTCGACGCCAAGCGCGGCTGGGACCACGGCGTCTTCATCCCCTTCTTGCTCATCAACCCGGCGGCCGACGTGCCGATTGTGCAGCTTTCCGTGCTGGCGTCCGAGTCGGAGGAAGAGCACCGCCGTATGGGCCTCGCGCTGGCGAGTCTGCGCGACTCCAACGTGGCCATTGTCGGGTCGGGCTTTGCGTCGTTCCACAACATGCGCAAGTTTGGCGAGCTCCGGGCCGGCGCCGGCGGATCGAGGCTCCGAAGCCAGGTCAAGGAGTGGAACGGCGTTCTGTCGGCGGCGATCGAGACGGAGAAGAGCGAGGAGAGGGGGAAGAAGCTCGCCGGCTGGAGGGGGTTCCCGCACAGCTTTGACATGCACCCGAACGGCGGCGGCGAGCACTTTATGCCCCTGCTCGTGTGCTCGGGGGCAGCCGGCGACGAGGCCGCAGCCAAGTACAAGGATGACTTTTTGGGAGCCGATATCTGGACCTACTATTGGGGGGAACTGCGCGTTTGAGGAAGCCTTGGGGGTGGACAAGCATTATAGCGAGCCGGATGTAGATGAGCGAATGACATGAAGCTAAACCCGCGGAACCAACATTCGTTGATTGGCTACGTGTTGATTCCGATGCTAGCGTCGCACCACTCGCATTCGACGTATTCTCTGGCTTCCTATTGGATCCGCCTCGAAGCCGGGCCGGAGCTTGCGCCACTGGCGAACCCAGCCTCAGTTCCGCCCATGCTCCGGCCTGCTTCCTCAAGTACGAGACAGTCCCTTTTTATCAAGACGGCGACTGCAGGACAATTTCACGTGAACGGGTTTCTCTCGCATCTCGGTTTCCTCGGTTTTCAACGCCACATCCACTCGCTTGTCTCTTGTTGCTCCCCGTTCTTCATCCTCGAGTCCCTTTGCAGTCAGTGGCTCATATGGCTCCACGTCGAGGACACCGGAAATCCCGTCACGGGTGCGTCGAGTGCAAACGAAGGCATGTCAAGGTATGGCACTATCCAGCAGCCTTCGATCTGACTTTTCTAACATCGATAGTGTGACGAGACACATCCTATATGCTTCAACTGCGTCAACACCAGGCGGTCATGTTCGTTCCAGGCCCTGACCCCAAGTACGATGGGCGGGTCCAGCCCGGGCCCCTCCTTCACCTCGGCCGGCCCGTCCCCGGGCGCCACAAACCTCTTGCTTGATGTCCCGAACGTACACTCTGTGCCGCCCGCCCACATGGACCAGTTGCATCTGATGCATCATTTTCTTTCTGGCGCTATTCCTGTTCATGACAAGATGCCCACACACCAGCATCTCGTCGAGCAGGCTCTTGGCCTTCCTTACCTCATGAACGAGATCCTCGCTTATTCAGCGCGACACCTCGCCTCAACATGCCCAGACAAGGCCCCTCAGTATATCTTCCTTGCGCGTGAGTACCAGGCCCACGCCTTGACTTTCTTCAACACGACCCAAGCCGAGACGACCGCCGACAATGCCATGCAAATGCTTGTCTTCAGCTGGATGGTCGGCATGAATCTCCTCTGCGACGCCGCCTGCGCCGATGATGACGCCACTGTGCTCGATGATTTCATTCGATACATAGAGCTCTACCGCGGTGTCCGCGTCATCGCGTCAGCGGCGTGGGACGTACTCATAAAATCGAATCACGCCTCCGTTTTTGAGGACGGGCAGCTCATCTCCATGAAGCTCGGCACAGGCGCCGAGACCGAGGCTCTGCAGGTCTTGATCACGAACAGTCTCGGCATGGACGATGAGCAGAAGCAGGGCAACCAGGAGGCCCTTGCGAGGATTCAGGCCACCTATGACTCTCACTCGTCTCTCGACGCAGACTCAAAGGACTCGTCACCGCGTGTCTCGCCCCGTGGTCATCTCGGCGACGCGGTCGGCATGGCTCTCGCTTGGCCGCAGGTGGTGACCCCGGGATTCCTCACCTCGCTGCGGGCGAAACGACCCGAATCGCTACTCGTGCTGGCCCACTTTGCCGTCATCATGCACTGGTGCCGGGGGCACTGGATCGTAGGGCGTGTCGGCAGTCGGCTCCTACGTAGCATTGTGGCGGCCCTGGGGCCGGGATGGGAGAGGTGGCTGCAGTACCCTCGGGACCTCGTCGAATCAACTGCGCCCGAGCCGTCTGTCGCCGCGGATCAGTCAACTTGAAATGCTGAGAAATTCGTCCAGGTTCAGGGGTGTCAAAGTCGATCCCGTTGACGGCCAGATGAGGCTGGACTCGGCGCCGAACTCTCAGCCCTACCGGCCCTCGGCCTCGGATGCTATACTTGCGCCGGCGCCGAAGAGGCGCATCCAGCCCACCTTGTAGGCGTAGGCAACAAGGGCCTTTCTCGCCCTTGTTCTCCAATTCCGCACACGCGGCCGATACGTCCGGATCCTTGACGTTGCATGGCGTGCTGACGGTCGGGGTTTGCAATCAAAGTTCACGCATTGCGGTTGGTACCCGCTCCCAGCTGCCGTCCATTCCTGGGAAGTGTTTCGAGGGTCGGCCACAGACTATATCTGTTTAAATACGAGCCGTCGCCGTGTGGAGGTCATAGCAACCTGGAGTCAGCAAAGGCCATCACACTTGACACCACTCGCACCATGTCACAACTAGCTGCCGACCTGCCTCACGCCTCCAATACGGCCGAGAAGAACCATGGCGTTCTTGATCCCAATGACTACGTCTCTGACGCGCCGTCCAACATCGATCCAAACATATCGGACAAAGAAAAGGGGGCCATTTATCCGGGTAGCGACGCTCCGGATGGGGGCTTAGCTGCATGGCTCGTTGTGCTCGGCGTGTGGTGCACCGCCTTTTGCAGTTTTGGCTGGATCAACAGTACGAACATTTCCTCTTTCACAGTCAAATGAAGAACCTCGATATTAACGCCAATAGGTGTCGGCGCTTTCCAGGAGTACTATCAAAATGACCTCCTTCGTCAATATTCTCCTAGCACCATATCATGGATTCCTTCTCTCCAGATCTTCTTCATGACGGCGACTGGGCCGATATTGGGCAAAGTATACGACATGTATGGCCCGCGCCAACTTCTTTTGATGGGTAGTTTTCTGCACGTGTTTGGTCTCATGATGGCCTCACTATGCAAGGAGTACTATCAGGTTCTACTTGCGCAGGGCGTTTGCTCCGCCATTGGCGTTTCTGCTATCTTCCAGCCATCCATCGCCGTAATCCACGGCTGGTTCAATGTCAATCGCGGCGCCGCCTTTGGCATCCTTTCTACCGGCTCCAGCATTGGCGGTGTCGTTTTCCCGATTATGGTCACACGGCTGATTCGTCAAGTTGGTTTCGCTTGGGCGATGCGTATCAGCGCTTTTCTCATCCTCGCTTTGCTCATCCTCGCCAACCTTACGGTCCGCGCATTCTACCCACCGACACCTCAGAAGATTACCAAAGCGCAGCTGCTCAGGCCGTTCCGCGAGCTCGAATTCGTCCTCATCACGCTCGGCTTCACGGTTTTCACCTATGGCATCTACGTACCCATCAATTTCCTTCCCGTCCAAGCGCTCGAAGCCGGCATGGACCCAAATCTGGTGCAGTACCTCATTCCCATTCTTAATGCCGCCTCCCTCTTCGGTCGTATGTTTGCTGGCTTCCTCGGCGACAAGATCGGTCGTCTCAACATATTCGTCATAGTCTGCTACCTCACTGGCCTCTGGATTCTTGCCCTCTGGATCCCCGCCGCCACCGACGGCGCCCTCGTCGCCTTTGCCATTCTCTTTGGCTTCTGTTCGGGCGCCTATGTCTCGCTCATCGGCCCCCTCGTTGCTCAGGTATCGCCTCTATCTGAAATTGGCTTCCGCACTGGCCTTGTTTTCTTTGCGTCCTCCATTGGAGGACTGACCACAAACCCAATCAACGGTGCCATTATCGACTCGCCTCATGGGCTCTTAGGCATGAAGATCTTTGCAGGTGTCTTCTGTATGGTCGGGACTACCTTTATCCTGGCTGCCAGAATCCATCGCACTGGTTGGAAACTGCTCGTCGTATTCTGAGGGTGATAGGAACGCATAGGGACTGAGGCGGGCGGAATTGTGCATATTGATGAAAAAGGGCTTAGGCGATATAGACTCATGGGTACTCCTCACTGCTTTGTAATGTAATTAATTAACGACATGAATTCCTCTCTCCATAAATTGTTCAAACCCCAAATTTGAAAGTGTTCTCCATCTGAAAATCCTTCATCAATGTCGTCCAGTCTGGTAGAACCTGCAGGTCGTCCACCCAGTCAAAATTACCCATTTGCGTGAAGACGCCCACGGCATCCATTCCACCCGGCGTCGCCACTTGTATCTGATCCTGCACCCTCGTAGCCCCGCTGGCCGCCGTCTCACCGGCCCTCTTTGCGAAGGCCTTCTCCTTCAGTACTGTGAGGACAGCCCATCGCGAGCCCAAATCCCCAGCGCCTACGCTCCCCGCTCGTGTGGCTTCCGTGTCGCTGAACACCGTCTCCACCGCCTGCCAGATGCGGTCTCGGTTCGGCCCATCTGGGCACACGCACAAGTGCCAGAGTACATACAGCAGCATGTGGTTTTGCGGGTACAGGCGCATCGACCATTGCCAGGGCCTCAGCCGATCGTCGGTCATCATGGTGGCGCCGAGTTCGAGTATCTCCACGGCCTCGAGGAGATTTTCCTCCGTGGCGAAAGCCTCGTGGGCGCCGGGCTGCGCATGCATCTGCATCCGCTGCCGCGTGACGAGCTCCAGCTTGCGAAGAACGAAGTCCGCGATGTGCATGGTCAGTCGTTGTTGTGGGATCACGGGGTTGCAGCGACTCAGATATCCCTTTGCGCGTGCTCTGATATCCTGGATGACCTGGCTGCGAGTGCCATCTCTGGCGGTTGGGGTTGACTGGGCGTTTTCATGCCATCCGAGTACTGTCGCGATGCCGATTAAAGAGAGCGTCATGGCGGTCCAGCCGGGTCGGTTCGGCGGAAGCTCGTCCATTTCAGGGTAAAGATCACTGTCGTGGAGATTGAGCGGCATGTCGATACTGGCGGCACACCCAGGGGGCATTCGCCGCATGTTTTCGAGACCGTAATCTTCTGCAGCTCGGCCATCTCGGCAGACAATATACCACCAGAGCCTCCGCCTGATTTCAGATTCGAAGGGCGACAGTCCCAGCAATTTACCGTCGCGATGCAGGCCGATGGACTGGGCGGCACGGATCACGAGTCCCACGATCGTCCAGATCCCTCTGCCGGGGTTGTGGACCCGGAGCGCAGACGATGAGATTGTTAGTCGAGTTAGGCATATGAAGAGACGACGGCATAGACATACCAAATATATCGCGAGTGCCTGTATAGTGGTGACAGTGGGACTCTCGAGAAAGTCGGCGTGGGCAATAGCCTGCTCGAGGCCAGTCTTCAAGAGCTGCAGACTTGCGACGGGGTCATCGCCAAGTACACCAACAGCTTCGTCTTGGTCGTATACCGTGGCAGCAGCGAAGAAAATGGCAAAACATAGGGCCAACATTCCTGGACTGCACTCGCTCGGCTTGTCAATAACCGTGTATACGAGAACCTCGGCAGTGGGTATGTGAAGGACTTTGGTGCAGGGCTCGACCTTGTCAACGTAAGCCTTCCAAAGGTGTGTAGCCACCGTTTTGTTTGGGAGGAAGCTTGATAATGGCCGTGAATATGAAGGAACCGAAAGTATACCCATGGGATTGAATTGAGGCACCGATATTGGCCGTGTGGCCTCACTGACCGGTGTCGATAGAACTGTTTGGATATCCTGCTCCTTTTGAACTGTCAGCACGAAACTTGATTAGTTGCCGAGGCCCTTCGCACCTCGTCGAGAACCCGTGAAATCAATATCTCGTTGAAATATTGACTCGATAATCCTTTCTGAACGAGGACACCCGGGCCTCCGTCTTGCCCACTGCTCGACCCTGAATGCAGGCCCTCTGTCCCGAGCGTGTCGCATGGTTTCGACCGGGAGGTTACTGTCTCTGCCGGTGCGGTCTGGTTCGATACGGAGACGAGAGTGCGCTCCAGCTCCGAGATGCGGGTGGCCACATCGGCCATGGTTGTCTTGGGCTTGCGGGCCCGCCGCAGGTGCTCGGCATGTGGGTACAAACAGGTGACGCCCCCACGTTTGCAATGGGAGCATGGCTGCTGCTTGTCACACCGTATCTTGCGGCGGTGACAAATCTCGCAGGACCGCTGTATCCTCCGGAGTTGCGCTGGGGCTGGGGCATCCATACGGGTGCTGTCGGCATCGGAGCGATTGAGGTCCGGCGGCCGGCTTGGCAAGTGCGCATCCGTCGAGTCTCGGGGGAGATGCGGCGGGCTCATTTCCTCTAATGACATACGTAGTGCAGTTGATTACTGATGACAATGAGCACTGATACATGCAACGTCTTCTTGGCGAGCGAAATTGTCGGAGGGTCGTCGACATCATATTCGGCCTCGGTGGTTATTTCAACGCCGAAACCGAGGTGACATTGGAACAGACTTGCTGAGTCATTGATACGAACACTTTCAACGAAAGATGACTGGTTTGGTGCGGCACGTCCCAACCGTCTAGCTCCCTCACTAACAGTTCCCAAGTATGCCTCCTAGAATCGGAAGCCCACAAATGATGCCTCCAAGCCCATTCGAACCTAGGAGCTTCTTCCAGATGGTGTCATTCAAGACGCATCCGAGTCCACCTAGGACGCAATCTTTCCCTAGAACTTCGATAGCCTCACCAATCGTGGCGAACAGGTCATCAAGAATATTTTCGACAGCTCCAACAGTCCCATCGACACCAGGGACGAGACATTGCAGGATGTTTAGCCCGTTGTCTTCGCAGAGGTTGTTCTTCTCGTCTGCATACCAAACCGTCAGCGAGACGAAGCTTCGTGAAGGCTGAGGAGGGGTTGGGGGGGCTGACCATAGTTGCAGTATTCCTTCGGAGTCTTCGCACAGATAGGACTTCCACCTTTGTCCTTGCATTTCTGCGCCGACTCTTTTGGTAGGCACGGGCTTTTGCACTTCTTGTCTTTTTCAGTCCATATCTGGCCCGCAGGACACTTGGGCTTCTTTTTGCATTCCTCCTGAATCTGCTTCTTGAGCTGCGTTTTGCTAATGCTGCTGACTATGGCCAAGACGACATTTTGCGTGTTGTTTAGGCAAAGATCATTGTCCTTGTCTAACGGGTTTAGCAGGTTGACCGCATCGCAGAAATGAAATGATATCGAGAAGATCTGGAATAAAAGAGCATACCGTAGTCGCAGTATAGGGTCGAGTCTGCTGCGCAGATAATCTTCTGCCCTGCCCTTAGGATCGGCGGGATGAGCGGAGGCGAGATGCAAATGCCCCTATTTTCGTCCCAAACCAGACTCTTCGGACATTTGCATTGGGGCAGGATTCCAAACGACTTATCCAGCCAGCCAACAAAGACTCGTCCACCCGTGCAGAGACTCGTGGTTGGATTGGCAGTCGCTGCTGTGGTTCGAGCGACAGGGTGCGCCGTCAACGGCGAGGCAGCCACCGTAACAGCCAGGGTCAGCTCGACGAGGATCGAGACGAGCATTTTGTAATTGTAGCGGCGATGACTTTGTTCAAGAACGGCTGAAGGCAGGGCTCTTGGCGGATATTCCGTTGCTGCGCGAACAATTTTGGTAGACATCATGACTCTTATAATACTGAACGGGCTGTTGAAGAAACGTGTCTGGCACGTGGTGTCAAACTAGATGTCCGCTTGTCATTATGGGCAAGCCGAGTTGAGGAAACAAAGTAGAAGCTGTGCATGTTACAAGCTGAAATGTAAACCCCCCAGTGTTGCTCACTGTACCGCAGACATGTGAGTAACAGCAGACGTGTGGTGCGGCTGTCTCAGACGTGCGCTGTTGGTGTGAGAGACCTCGTTCAAGACTCGCCTCGAAGAAACAATGAAGTCCGGTTTCTGTTGTCGCAGCCGCCAGGAGTCTTGCCAAGACAATCCTAAGTAAGCCGGGGCTGGAATCAGTACTACAGTCAGCTCGCCAGTCAGTGGGAGCCGAGACAATGGCCCTCATAGTTTTGACAACAAGTCGACACGAGGAGCTCGTGCGAGTGAAGCAAACACAAAGCCAATGATCGCGCCGCTGATATGCAGGACATGAAGTCAGGATGTGCAAGGCACAGATTATTTGTCTTCGACGACGTTGACCTCTGTCTGCTTAAGAGCGAAGACCAAACGCTCACCAACAGGAATTGGAAAAATGGTTTTAGGTATATAGGCTGTCAACATCGTGCTGCAACCGCCGAGGCCGCGCCCTAGTGGAAGAAACCCCTGTGTGAACGCAAAATGTAGTCAGGGTGTAGGGTACCATGTTGGATATCCTTTCCATATTTAACACCCCCTGAAGATGCTGCGTCTAGTCATGTCTCTTGCAGGTCACGCCAGGCCGGACAGGAGTAGTACCACATTGAACAGGCTCCTCTGTGAGTGCCTGGTCATCCGCCTAGGAACTAGTCTTCTGGTCCAGCGGCATGCGTAATCTTACCCCTGGATGGAACAATCCCAGCGCCTCTCCCGCAGCGACCCGGCGCTTGCCAGATGGGCGTCAGCACCGAGAATGCACAAGATTGTCCAAGACCCAAGGGTCGTCACACGCGGGCCCGGAGAGCACTGATTAAGAGTCTCAGACACATCGCCCTTGTGGGTTCACAAGAAGGCCATGCCGACGGCATTGTCAATCCCCGCACACGGCGAAGGATTCTTCGACTATGATGGGGACCGGCCAAGGCTCGAGGTTGTACGGTACTGAGTACGACCCAAGAAAGCCTGATGGCTGGCGCCCGGAAAGTGGGAGGGAGAGGAATCACTACTTGCCTTCATCTGCCGCCGAGCGACGTCACGATCATGCAACTCCGCATCTAAGGGGTCTCGGCGGACTTGGGGAGCTTAGGGGGTGGGGGTCTCCAGCCAAGCACAGTCAAGCAATATCGGGGATGGACACGGCTCCTGTCGTCGGGCACTCGAAGTCCCTCTCCCTCCACAGCGCCTGAAAGCGAGAAAGCCGGGCCGGCCTGCATTCCACGGCCAGCGGCTCGGACCCGCGAAAGGGGGAGAGGACGAACAATCAAGGCCAAACAGGCCGTGGCGTGTTATGGAACGCGATGGGGCGGTCAATTGGTCGATATATCGGTCGCTGACCATGAGGAGGGAAGAGTAGTAGGGGACCCATGTCGCGCCATGGCAGGGGGCTAGGATCGGGGGACAGGGTGTTGGTCCAAGTTGGGGACAGGTTTCCGATATAAACGAGGGAACGCAATCTGCAGGGCGTGCAGAAGCGAGAACAAGAAAGGGGGGGATAATCAACAGATTTGGAAAAAAGACTTCCAGAAGAGACAGTAAAGCCGTCGAGCTTTTGGATCGAAGGCTTAAAGGCAAAGGCTTTGGGTCGAAGGCTGAAAGGAGGAGAGGTTGTGGCTGGCAGTGTGGCTGGCAGCAGAAAAATAAGGTAAGCATCAATTTATTAGGCCTCACGCTGCTGCAAGATTGGTGTCGAAGCTTGGGCATGACAGGCGCTGGCTCGTGGTAGCGGGTTGTTCAATCACACCTCCGATCTCTGGGCCGCTGGGTACGGAGAGCACAGACGGTTGTTCGTCTCGTGTAAGGTAGATCGATGGGTCGTGGTTGCGGTGAACGGGAGAATCGCTACGAGCATTGTCGATGACGACGATCATGGCTGTGCGTTTAAATGTACTGTGTGGCTGGGTATCTCACAAAATCCAGCTGGACAGACCCAGAATGTAGCCGTAGTCGTCATGATACAGGTTTCCCGAAGCTCAACTCGAGTGTTGACAATGCTGAGATCAAGCCCGCCGTAGCGTGTACATGTAGTGAGCGACAATCAAGATCGATTGGCATTTTAAGCACGATGCTTGTTAGCTGACCTCAAGGAATACAGACGTCACCCCATGATCACGTCGACAGGTGTCATCCCATCGCCAACGCCCTGATTGGGGCAAGACAGGCATCCCAGGTGGAAAAGGAAGATTTCGTGGCGGGCAGTAATCTTCCTGAGGGACATGGTGCATGAAGTGTTGTTGACCTGAAACCGCAAGCTGGGGTTGGATCTTTGCGAGGGGTCATGGATATGGCGCATCTTAAGGGGATGTGTGGTCAGGGGGGGTACTTGGAAGCTGTGCAAGGGCGGCGGGGGGGTGCAGGAGATGCACAGGGGCGCAAAAGGCTGGACTGCGCGCTAACGCACGGCGCCGCGGCTGTCGCTCTGGCCCAGGAGGGCGATGGCGGTCAGGAGCACCTGCCAGAAAGGCGACCCCGGCCGTCGGAAACCCACACAGCCCCTGTAAATACCGGCTCCAGCGTGGGGTCTTGCTTTTCTGCCAGTCGTCGTTTCAGATTTCGTCCCATGTTGCTGGAGGCAGGAGATGGTGGACACAAGGGAAAAGGCGACTTCCACCAAGCACAGGCACCACAGCGAGATTTCCTCGCTTACATGGTACCTACCGCACCTACCTGGGTACCTGGCAAGCCTAGGTACCTACTGTGCCCTCTACCTCGCCATGCTCGCTTCCTCGGTTGGCGCCGAACAGCCAGCCATCCACTCGACCGCTACCCTGTGCCTGCTGTGCCTGCTGTGCCTGGTGCCGCCAAGATGAGCCTCATCACCCGTTTTCCATTTTGCCATCGCCTGCAGAGAGAACCCCTGCCCATCATCCCAGTGAGAGGGGGGGGAGCCACACGGATTGATGAGACGTTGGCGGCCGGCGCCTGCAATCTCGACCACCGTCCATCTCCACCACAGCCCAGGCCCTGTCCTCGCCTGGCCTCCCACATCATCAACGGTCAAGGTAGCTAGGCAGTGTATTTGCCTGACCAGCGATGACCATGCCCGGTCAGTTCCTGGTTGCGGCTAGTGTCTTCCGCCGGGGGGCACAGCGTTGTCGACATGGGCCCTCTCTCGCCTCGCTGACCTGAAGCCATTTGATATAAAGCCTCGTCCTGCCATCAACCCTCTTGCCGCTGCCTTTTTCTCTCTCCTCTCCTCATCCTCGCTTCCAGTGTTGTTTGTTCACTCTTTTTTCCAAAACTTCCCAGTCTCTCTCTTTTTGGCTGTGCCATTCTTTTGAAACTCACCGAACTCGACGTTCGCCAACCCACGCTCTCTACGCAGATACACTTGCAACTACATACTTTTCACTTCAACCAACCAGTACAAACAACCAAACCAACCCGATCTTCATACCAGACCATTCAAAATGCGTTTCACCGTCGCCTCCGCTCTGGCCATGGCCACCACCGTCTCCGCCCACGCTCAGATGTACGGCATCTGGGTCAACGGCGTTGACCAGGGTGATGGCCGCAAGGACTACATCCGCTCTCCCCCCAACAACAGCCCCGTCAAGGACCTCACGAGCCCCGACCTCGTCTGCGGCCCCAACGGTGGCACCCCCGTCCCCAGCTTCGCCAAGGCTGCCGCCGGTGACAAGCTCAGCTTCGAGTGGTACCACGACAACCGCGACGACGACATCATTGACGGCTCCCACGAGGGTCCTCTGATCACCTACATTGCCGAGTACACCGAGACTGACGGTTCCGGCCCCATCTGGACCAAGATTGCTGAGGATGGTTACTCCGGCGGCAAGTGGGCCGTTGACAAGATCAAGGCCAACCACGGCAAGCAGGACTTCACCCTGCCTGCCGGCCTCGCCGCTGGCAAGTACCTTGTCCGCCAGGAGATCATCGCCCACCACGAGTCCGATGTGGCCTTTGCCTCCAACCCCGCCCGTGGCGCCCAGTTCTACCCCTCTTGCGTCCAGCTCGAGGTCACCGAGGGTGGCAGCGCTGTTCCCGATGAGGGCTTCGACTTCAACACCGGCTACACCTCGGCCGACCCCGGTATCGTCTTCAACCTGTACAGCGGCTACACCAGCTACACGATCCCCGGCCCCAAGGTCTGGACCGGTGCTGGCTCCGGCAGCGCCCCCGCTCCCAAGCCCACCACCGCTGCTCCTGTCGCCACCACCACCGCCGCCGCCCCTGTTGCTCCCACCACCACCGCCGCTCCCGTCGTTCCCGCCCCTGGCAACGGCAGCGAGGATGACTCCGAGGGCGCCCCCGCCCCTGTCTTCTCTTCCATCGCGTCGGCCGCCCCCGTCGTTCCCACCACGACCGCTGCCTACCCCGTCCCCACGACTACCCTGGCCACCGTTGTCAAGCCCCCTTCGGCCACCAACGCGCCTACCACTCCTCCCACCACTCCCCCTACCACCTGCAAGGCCAAGCGCTCCAGGTCCCGCAAGGCCCGCCGCAGCGCCAAGAAGGTCGCCCGCCGCGCCCAGCTCTAAGCTGTGGGCTGTCACGATATCTGATGGCATGAGCCGTCTGTTCATCGGCCTGTGGCCGAGGACAGAGGCCACTTCATTCGGTCGGGGATGAGAGCGTGTGTTTTCGGAAGCATACGACGGTCTACGATTTTGATTCCTGTATATATTGATCCAAGCGTGCATATACTGCGTGTAGAATCTGAAGATTTTCAGCAGATTTACTCCATCATGATTCTCCTGTGACTTGAGTGATGACTTGTTTGTCAAGGTAGACAATATGCATGATCTTGTACCGTTGTTCCAGATTTATCGTGTCGGGAGCGGCTGCCAAGCTCCTCAATCGTACGCTACAGTTGAAGAGTGCAGCCTGCTAGTCAATCAAATTCTCGGCAAACCAAGAAACAGAAGGGAAACGAAAACACCAGCACGACGTCCATGTCAGATGCGAGTATCTCTTCAACGTTGAGCGATTCATCTTCCCTGGCTGTTATTGAACCTTTGATACGTCGAATACGAGGAGGGCATTCAGTTGCTCAGTGCAGGCTAGTCAGAACAAAATACACTTCAATAACTACAGCACAGCCAAGGCAGGCATGGCACAGGCCGCTGGCTGGGTGTCAATGTCCGACGCTCATCTCGTGTCGTGCGGTCAGGTGGATCCATCTGCCTGGTCCGATATATTGGCGGGGCCGATAGTACAGATCCCTCTGCGTCTCCACCCACGGCGGGGGCGGGCGAGCTTGAAACTTGGGCAGGCTGTGGATCTGTTAGACCTTTACACTTGTACCATGTATACCTACCTAGGTACCTAGCTTAGGTACCTATGGTATATGGGTTTTTTCGAGCCTTATTTGAGTTGGGCGCTGCCTGAAGCACTGCTGCTTTTGTGCTGAGCCGCGACTGAGTATCAGCCTGGAGGTATGACTTGCATACCTCAGCCACAGTGCACTCACCGCAAGCTCACTCTAAGTCCTACTTTACCGCCGTGCCCTATGGCAGGTCGTAGTGGAAGCGGAAACAGCACGCCATGTAAAGCACACAATGTCAAGCATCCGGTGGATACTTTTCTGTGTTTCACTTGGTAAGCCTATGGCTTCTGTCCTGGACCCCTCCCCTTCCCCCAGATCTCCATATACATCAATCACAAGGTACCGATAATTCGAATACGGCTCTCCTGTTAGACGTTGCCAGCTGCATTGGCTACCTCCATGAAATCATTAGCTTTACCACACTATTTTTTCCTAACGATGGCCATACTGATAGCCACGGGCGTACCCCTCGTGGTAGCCATTGGGCAGGGACAAGCAAGCTGCGCATTTCCTTGCGTCAGTTGCGGTGGCCTAGAGCAAACTACGTACAATGATTCACGCGGAAAATGTCAGCAACGTTTGAAATTTATGAAGAACCTCTCTGCATAATGGTCTTGCCTTGCTCCTACTCCCACTTTTGGTATTTTTAATGCAATCCAAGAACTACTGGGACACTGCAATTGGCGTTGACTGAATGTCAGAGCTATCGGATGTGCCGAGTGAAGAGGGTTTTCGCAACTGATATTCACAGTCTATTGTCAGGTATCGGATGGAAGCGCATCTAAGGTATGGTCCTCTGCAGCTAGGGAAGCATCCATAGCCCTTATAACATTGCCTCCGCGGCATCGAACCCCCTGAAATGGCGCCCGACCTCCCCTCCTCCGCGTCCGGTGGCTCCGCAGATGCCTCCTAACATCGAGCTTCCTGTGCATGTGCGCCTAGTCGAGGTTGATCAAGATAACCGGATATCTGATGGGTGTTGATTGGACCCCATGTGCAGTTTGTTGTAAAACACCGCTGGTGTCTTTACCGGAATATGAACTCCTCGAGCTCTTTGTATGCCTTTTCAATGTTGTCATTAACAATGACGAGGTCATGATGGAGCCCGGGTGTTGTATCTGCGTAATCCAACTCTGCCTTGGCTTGTGTCATCCGTCGTTGTATATCCTTCTCCTTCTCAGTGCCCCGGCTCCGGAGACGGATCTCAAGCTCATCAAGACTGGGAGGTTTGACGAAGACGTACAGAGCGGCGGGAATATCGGGACTTTGCTTTAGCTGCTTGATACCTTCCTGGTCAATGTCGAGGAGAACAACGGTCCCTTGAATCACGCCTTTGGCTGCTTGGTCTACTATAGCTCGTTTGCTAGTGCCGTACATGGCACCGCTAAATGTTGTGTGCTCTATGAAGCCGTTCTGAGCGATAAGAGCAGAAAACTGTGCGCGGGAGACAAAGTAGTAGTTCACCCCATCAACCTCACCTGGTCGAGGGCTTCTTGTGGTGTGTGAAACCGTAAGCGTAAAGAGTCCGCGGTGCGTGTCTTGTAGCTTCTGAATCAGGGTTCCTTTCCCCACGCCCGATGGGCCGGAGATGACGATAGTCTGGCCCGGCGGCATCATTGCTTGTAGTGGCCGAAAAAAGTCGATAAGGATGGAGGGTATCGTCTAATAGGACTTTGACAAGCCGTGTACGATCCCCTTGTCGCTTTTGTCTGCCGAGTCAAGATTGGAATACAGGTATCGAGATGAAATCGAGACCGACTGGATTTATCACAGTTTTGATAAAGGCTGATACTGATACTGATGCTGGGGACAGGCCGGCGGTGGTGAGTAAGGAAGGAGGGAAGGAAGGAGGGTGTGCAAATTCAAACCTACCTGCAGAGTGCGTTTATATGTTGGCTGTCCAGGTGACACCCACTGGACCATCAAGGTCGCTCAATGATTGTGGCCCATTGTCAAACAAAACTACAACCTCATGATACCCTGATATCTCAACTCAGAGAAAAATAACAAGGTAGGCAAAAATTCGACAGATCAAGCGCACCATCGCGCCAATAACATCGCCATCAACTCATCAGCATTGTACGTTTAGCTATAGAACCCCCCCCCCTAAGATGATTTCCCGAAGCTGTAAAGTGCATCTAGGCCTGTTAGAGTCGAATTTCATACACAGGGACTGTAGGCCATTTGAGATAACAGATATACATCTTGAAATACACCTCCGTAGACGTCTCGATTGCGGGCGGCTCAGCCGAGCCTGAACAAGAGCGGCAAGGCCACTAACCCGATTAGTTCAGCGCCGCCACGGCAGTGGTAGTCAAGGACATCCCTCTGAGGGGAGCCAGCTGGGAGGTGTCGCGCAATGGCAGGTCGAAGCCTCTGAGATGACGCACATCTGGCGCTAAGAAAAGCCCCACCATCTCATGTTGGCCGCAACGCTGACGCTGCGTGCCTGAGCTGGTGCATCGTCCACTAAACGGAATGCCTGACAGCTTTAATGGTGGAGGTATTGCATCTCTGCAAAGCAGTCAGCTGTATTGAAATGAGTTCGAAGGTATTCAGCACATTTCCACCCCAAGACCGTCTTAGACCCTCGTCTCAAATGCGTCTCTTGGTTTCCTGTTTTCACCTTGACTTCAGGGTCCGTTTTCGTAGCCGCTAGGGGATCCAGCATTTTCAACGGTCGCGGCGTCTCACAGGGGCAAGGGGTCTTATCAGCACTTTATCAGCACTCAATCACGCCCACGAGCTCCAACGTTCCGTCCACCTTTTCGACATCTGGACCAGCCATTGCATCGTCAGATCCAAATCAGAACCCCAATCAGACCTCTCGTCCAATACCAGCACCTTGCTTCTTCGAGACCTGCCTTCGACGCTGAGTGTTTTCCTCCGAACTGCATCGCGCCCGGCGTCCGGCACGCCGAGAGAGGAGAAACCGAGAGGATTGGAGTGCAAAGGAGAAGGGCCACTCAGCAGCATGCTCCCGCCGACATGAAGCTCAGAATACCCCAGACCCGCACCGTCAGGAGCCTGGCCTCCGCTGTTGGTGTCACCATATTCGTGTACCTCCTCATTAGCAATCTCGAGACCCGTCTCCGTCTTGGCGACGATGGCCTCGCGTCGCACCCGTCCAGAGCCGGATCATCGCCAGCCAGAAATCCCGACTGCCCTGTGCCTGCACTCCGGCACCTGCGCAACCTCGAGCTCAACCTGACCGACACCATCACCTACACGAAGCGGTGCATCAAACCCGTTGTCACACGATCCCTCGAGCGCGACGCTGTTGCGCAAATAGACGAACCCCTCCTCAAGACCAAGACGAAGATCGATCTCAGTTCGTGCGCACCAGTCCAGCTCGAAAGATGCGATCCTATACCACTGCGTGTTCCGCGCCCATACCCGAAGTCCACCTACCCCCAATACGTATTTGGCGTCGCCACGTCGTACGAGCGCTACGAAGAGTCGATAGACACATTTGCCTTTTGGCTTGCAGGGTCACATGCCAAGCTGGTCGGCGTCGTCACCGACTATGACGAAAATCGCCCCAACCTCGAAGCTCTCGTCGCTCGCTATGCCGAGCGCGATGTCATTGCCAGCTTTGTCAAGCCCATTCGCTCAAGGCTCAGCGTCGGCCAAAACCACTTCACCATCATCCGCGACCTCGTCAAGGCTTCAGGCCCCGAGACCGAATGGATTGCTATCCTCGATGACGACACATTCTTCCCCTCTCTCCACAAGCTCACCGTCGCCCTTTCCGACATTGATCACACGCAGCAGGCCTACGTCGGTGCCCTATCAGAGGACTTTAGAGCTGTTCGCACCTTTGGTTACATGGCTTTTGGCGGAGGCGGCGTGTTCCTGTCGGCGAAGTTGGCGCGGGACCTCGAACCCCTGCTCGAGACATGCCTCAACGAGGCCAAGACGGGCGAGGGCGACGCGCTCGTGCGCGAATGCGTCTACAAACACACGCATACCAAGCTGACGCCACTGCCGGGCCTGCACCAAATGGACATGGCGAGGGATGCCACGGGTTTCTACGAGGGAGGCCCCAGCCCCCTGAGTGTCCACCACTGGAAGAGTTGGTACTTCTCCCCCGTCGAGCTCATGGCCACCATCACGCACGTCTGCGGCGACTGCTTCCTGCAGCGCTGGCGCATGGGCGCCGACACGGTCCTCACCAACGGCTATTCCATCAGCGTCTACCGCGACGGTCTCGACGACGTCGACCTCAGCCGGATGGAAGATACGTGGTCCAACAACCAGCCCGACTTTTACGACTTCAGCATTGGGCCGCTGCGGAAACCCATGAAGCCGGGGCAGAAGAAGACGTATAAGCTCGAAGACGCCGACTACCTCAAAAACGGAGGAGTGCGGCAAATCTACGTGCACCGGGCGGAGAAGGCCGGCCAGAATGACGAGGTCATTGAGCTCGCGTGGGAGGCGTCCAGACCAGGCCTCCTGGGCAACATTCGACCTGAATAATGTAGCGTTTGTGTCTATTTGGATGTATGGCAAGGGTAAGGCATGTTTTGGTTAGCCCCCTTCTTGGCGTTGGATGGACTATTTGCGCGTTTAGATGTTGGCTTGAGGACCCTAAATTGCTATCATGCTGTTCAAGTACTCTCAACCCCTCCTGTTCTTGCGACCTGCCTCTCAGTTTTTAGCCTTCCGGGCCTCCCAGGTGTACGCGACATCAACACCAGCACGTACATGTATCACAGTCGCGACTAGGCATGCTACTGTACGCACTAGCGGCACGGACCCGTCGGCACGCATCTGTCTCAGTGAGACATCGAATCGGGTCAGCGGTTGGGACAAACAATGACGAGAATAGGAAATCGAGGGAGACCCACCTTTGACATGTTCATCGCAGCTTAAGGTTCAGCCTCGTCAGGGGAGACCGAGGGCTGCCAAGCAGGCCCTTGGATTATCCAGATTGATGAGGGCATCCAACAAGCTGAGTCGAGTGGAATGTGAGCAATCTAGCCTACTTCCCCACAGAGTGCGCACTCCCCCCCGCGGCAACACCCCCCAACGCCCCGGACGGGTCTGGCATTCGAGGGAGACGGACAACAAGGGGGGCCCCCTTAACAATGTGTCGAGCTTCCAGCCCGTCCGTTAAAGCATGGCAATGCCTCATGCCCCTGTCCACAATTCTCTCTGGCAGATCTCCTGGTGTTTCTTTCACCGACTGAGCCGGCCCTGCTCCCTCAGGGCATGTTGACGAAGACGACGATAGCGACGAACAAAGCAACGAAACGAGACAAAGCGAGATGCCGTTCATCTCTGCGAAAACGCCAACGCGGGAGCTGAGCCGTTCGCCCACTATGCCCTGGCTCTCCCGCACGCCATCTTACCAGGCATCACCGCTGCAGTCGCCCCGTCCGAGCTCGCCCCGTCTACCATCTTCCACGGGCAAACAGGCATGCCCGCCCGTAACGTACATACCGGCTCTCATCGACGGCGCGTGCGGGACGCTGCCACTCGCACAGAAGCCCATCGTTGATCTCATGCGTGAGAACCTCGAGGACCTATGGGCCATGGCCCCGGACCTGTGGGCTGCGCTAAGGGGCGGCTTGATCAGAAGACCGGGGGAGAGGATGTCGGGGGCGCAGATGAAGGATGCTGTGGTGCAGACTTGCCTGAGCGTCATCGAGGTCGGGATGCTGCTGTCCGTGGTGCCCATCTGGCTGTTCATGCCTGGTATCGTGTTCGCGTCGTGGGCGGCCATGTCGTTGACTGTGGTGTTCGGCCTCAGTTGGCTGCTGAACGAGGACAGCGTCACAATCAGCTGCGACGGGTCCGACAGCTGGGCTACTGACAGCGAGACGCACGATGAACGGTGGTTCTTCGTCAGTGGCATCGGGACAACGTATGTGACTATGAGCTGAGGTACCGGATGATAACGCATGCTGACAGCGTTCCCAGAGCTCACCACCTCGCACATCACACGCTGCCTCTGATGGCTCGCCTCTTCACGCACCCCATCACGGGTATCCATACGCCAACCTACGGTCTTCCCTTTGATATCATTCTGACCATGCTTCACCGGGCGATGCCCTCGATGCAGACGGCCGCCTCGCGGGCTCTGTACATGGAACTCCGCGCCGCGCTGCTCGATAGCCATATCACGCGAGTGGCCGTCCTCTCCCACACAACAGGCGCCATCCCGCTCAGTTCCGTCCTCACGCGGCTCAGCGCCGACCTCCAGCCGGAGAAGCTCTCCAAGCTTGAAATCTTTACATTCGGCGCCGCCGTCCGCGAGTTCGCCACGCCGCTCGGCGAAACAAAGAAAGCCTCGCCAGCCAGCAGCACGCCGCGGTTCGAGGAGCCGATTGTCGAAGATCGGGGTCCGCATATCGAGCACTTCGCCTTCCCCTCTGACCCGCTCGCCCAGCTGGGGGTCCTGCGCGCCGTCCAAAAAGACCACACCGCCCGCTTCTGCGGCAGCGTCTTCCTCATCCACGTCCAGCCGCCCACCCACGCCATGTCCGCTTCGGCCATGCCCTCTCCCTCCTCAACCAGTGGAAACCGTGGTGCCTTGCGTCGCCCACCGGGTCATCTCGCCGACTACCTGGCCGCGCTCTTCCCCGCCTCGATGGACGGCACGACGCCGGGCAAGAGCAGCATCCTCGACTACGTCATGAGCATCGATCGCGACACGGCCGAGAAGCGCGAGCTTGCGGCCATGGCGTCGTATGCCGAGTGCAAGAAGCGAAGCGGCCGGTTCGGACGCGACGGCAAGCGCACGAGTTGGACGGGGCTCGGCGCGACGGTTGGCGGCGGGGCCACCAACGGCGTCATGGACGGGGTCGTCGGGCTCGAGATGGCGAGGCGCGGGTGTCGCGAGTGCGACGGGCACAGGGGTCGCGAGGTCAGCCGCCTGGCGGACTATGTGCGGAACAGTAACATCATCATTCGCAGGGACTCGAGTGTCGTGGATGCGTTGGGCGTCGGGAGGACGTGAGCGGACGTGGATCAGCTTGCCACAGACAGGCATACATGGTCCCTCTGATAGATTTTCCTAATGACCTTTGTAGCGTTTCATGCCAGTATGTTCGAACTGTCTGTCTGCTCTTGTACATGAAGCTTCGCAGGAAACCTAAAAGGAACACCGGATGCTCATGCGACCTTGAAGGTGGGTATAAAAAGCGAAATTCGTGTCGCTGGTGTCATCACAGCTCTTTCATCTTCTCCAGTGACTGCAACGCTCGCTCGAGCTGCACAACGACATCGGCAGACGCCAGCATCTGCTCTCTCGTTCTGAAAACCTCCCTCGCATGGATCGCGCGGGCAAACCCAAGCGAGTGCTCCAGTCTATCCCGCAATGAGCGACCCAAGGTATCTTTCCCCTCAACGGCAGCCTGCACCTCTGTCAACTGGTTCTTAACGGTCTCAAACTCCTTCTCCAGGTCGATCACGCGCTGATTGCTCTCTATCTGCTGTTGCAGTTTGGCGATGTGCTGGGTCTGTGTCTCGATGAGTTCGGCCTGTATCTGCCTGGTTAGTTCTGCTTCCTTGATGTGATTGCTCTCTGCCTGAGCTCTGGAGTCGGATTCGGCCACGCGCTGCGCGAGTGCTGAAAACTGGTCCTGGAGGGCATTGAACCGAGCTCTGTTGGGGCCGTCTGACAGACTGCTTTGCGCACGCAAGTCATCAAGCTGTTCCCCAAGATCTCTGTTGCGCTGTTCGAGTGTTTCAATCCGCTTTGCATCCTCCTCTGACATGGCGTTGTGTATTTGTCGTCCTTCGAGTCTGTCTAAGCGAGCACCATGGCCGTTAATCTGATCCTGAAGTAGAGTACCAAGTCCTTCAGGGGCAAAAGAGTGCTCGGTATTCTTGGCAATAGCTTGCGCAATAGTACTGGACGCCTCAAGCCCCTGAAAACCGTCCTCGCCAGACACGGCCATCTCTGACAAGGCATCGTTGGAAGTCAGGTGACCGTCAAGCCCACTGTGAGTCTTGTCAATCTCTGCAGGTGGATCTCGCTTGTATGCAGAGTGATCAGTCTCCCCAGGCTGCTCTGGGGAGACGTCTTGTCCGGCATGATCAGCCTGTACTCGGTCGGCTTGTGGTGTCCCTTCATCGATCCTCGACAGCCTCTCTGTGCGAGCAGGTGTCAGATCTCTCGAGCTGTGGCCTCTTCCACGCGAATCACTAGGTGAAGGCAAGCAGTCCGTGGCCCTGGTCGGCTCAACGCAGTGTCGTTTGCTGCCATTGTCGGGTGCCTCGTCTTCAGAGGAGAGAAGGTGCTTTTTATTGGAATTCGCATCTTCGCGCTGGATTTGGTGCTCCTCCGGTCGCTGAGGTGCAGAGCGGTCATCGGAATAGGGCCAGAACCCGGGAGATAGCAAAAGGTCGACATCTTGAAGGAGGTCAGCCCACTGGGCCATCTTGTCGTCGAACAAGGCGTAGTGTTCCCGCTCGTACAGAGGTGCCCTATTGACAGCGTGAGACCAGATATGACACCACTCGTCTGTGAGAGCTGCGAGAAGCGTCGGCTTCTCCCCGCGGTCGGACTCCCGTCGGTAGGTCTTGCGCCTGGCAGAGTAGAATTTTGTGAGATCACGAATCTGGCGGGCGTGGGACGTGGCGAAACTGCAGGCGCGGTCCACGGCGCGATAAATCGCAATCTCGTGGTTCATGGCGCTGAAATGTAGCAAAGCCCTGAACATGATGACCAAGTTGACATAAATGCGTTCTTCTAGGCTCGAGTGGTTCATAGTGTACCTGCGCTGGCCGAGTATCACTTTAGCCCGAGCGTCATCGTTTTCGTGTGCTGCCCAGGGCGGCAATCCATCAGCGAACCCTTGGAGGGCGAAAACGCCGGCGAGGGTGCCTGGCGGTCGAGAGGTTTGTCCAGCTCTTGATGGCGAGCGGTCGTGTGGTGAAGAATTCATCAAGGGCTTCGCTGGATGCTAAACATGAAACAGATCTGGACAGAGAGGCTGCGACGAGGGCGAATTACGAAGGGGAGGGAACAATGAGATTAATGGTATCCGAAATAAATAGACGCAATGTGACGAGAACGTTGGCGACGTCGAACCTCCCTGAGGTTTGGACGACGCTCCTCAAAGATTGCCCCAAGCAAGGTGCCCAGATGGGCAGGAAGAGGTGACCGCAGCACCTGCCACTTTACGCGACAAACGCGCCAGTGAGCAAGGTTGTCAGCCTGCCAGGCTGACAGCGGGGAGCGAGCCCTCCGTCTGACGTCGAGCTTTATCTTATCAGTGTCCACCTTGGTGGAGAAGTCAGGAGGCTCCACTTGCGACCTCTCCGAATGGGGTCTTGGTGACGGAGATGCTGAGATGTTGATTCTCGACATCCGGCACTGCGACAGACATTACCGACGACCCAAGCCATCCAGCGCTTCGCAAACCCCCTTCTGTACACCAAAAGTAACCAGGAGATCCAGTCCTTCCGACGCGCGCGCGCACGCTCCATCCCCCGCCCACAATGCCTTCCACCGACAATCCTCCAGAGACCATCGATGCTGCGAACAAGAACCCATGGACCGAAGAGACGAAGACCAAGTTTGAAACGTTCGATCACCGCGACCCCGAAGCCTGGGGCCATGGCACTGACTGTCCGTGACCAGCAAGAGCAAGAGCAAATATATGGACCCGTGCCAGGACGCCGCCAAGCGCAGCATCAAGTGCTTGAACCGCAACAACGGCGACAGGGAGATGTGTGGTGAATATTTCCAGTACGGTGGTCATGGATTCCCCAGTTACAGAGTTCAAGACTAATCATTGCCGCAGAGCATGGCGAGACTGCCGACAGGCATGGGTATGGAGTCCAATACCTCTTTCCTAACCGGTAAATGGACTACACTAACACCAAATAGATGGACCAGCGCAAGGAGGAGAGAAAAAAGGCGGGCAGTTTCTTCTGAACGGCCAGCCGCGCCGAAAGACGTGTACGAATGGAATGGCAATGCGGCTTGACAGCTTCGGAGTGGTGCCATCGGGATCGAGCGTGGTGTAACAACAGGTGTAAACTACCGTGGCCGTGGATTGAGCCTAGCGATGGGAGAGATATTGCATGGAGAATAATGATCATGAAGAGTGACAGGGCAGGGGAAGAATTTACAACAATTTCATCAGCCAAATGCTCGAAACCTTTGACTTCGTCGACGACCAGTAATCCTCAGTGATGGCTGGACCCGCTTTTGCAGCTGCCATCTCAATGCGCAACCAATCACAGTACGTCTTGCATTGAATTTCGTGCCCCTCCATCCATCTCACCTTGTCGTGGTGTGGTGCATGCGAGAACGGGCTCAGTTGATGCCCCGCCATCCCAACTCATCACCATGTCCTGGAACCGCCCCCAGCTCAAGAGCGGCGTTGATCTGCAGCTGCAGTCCGCCTTTCACGAGGGTCAATGGGCGTCCGTCATCCGCCTGGCCGAGAAGAGGCTCCGAACATTCAACGACCCATATTATGAGGTGTGTTTTGTCTCTCAAGAAACCCAAGAAGGCTGTGTCGGCTCGACTGACGGTACGAGATTGTCAAAATATGCGCCGAGTCCAACCTCGACTCGCCGCTGGAGAGGTCAGCCGGCATCATTGCTGTGCAGAGGTTCGTCAAGGACGGCACTGTCATCAAGGACGTCGACGCCCTGGACCTGCTCGAATGGGCCATTGGCAGCCTTCAGGATGAGAGCGAATTCCCCCACACCCTTGGCCCCTTGAAGGTCAGGTGCGTCAAGGCCAGTCCCAAGGACCGCAATGCCGGCGTCAGGTGCCTCGAGTCTTGCCTCCTTCACTGGGACCTCGTCAGCGCGCAGCAGATTGCTGCCATCCTGGACCGGTCCTTCCCTCATGACAGGACATTCTTCTTCTGGAACGTCGTCATCACTTATCTTCTCTGCGTGTGTATTCCCCATTAACCTTGTCTGTGTGCGCCTTCTGACCTCTTCCAGCTGAGTGACCAGTGCACTCCCGACAAGAAGAAACTGTACGGCATGCTGGCCCTAAAGCAAATACAGCGTGCATCCCAGACTGCCAGTACGGATACTGATAGGTCCATCAAGACGGAGGAGGAGATTCTCCTTCTCTACCGTATCCTCGAGTCTCATGGATCAGACGCCGAGTGGAAGGCCGCCCTGGACCACCCTCACTTCGGACCAGTCCAGCAACTTCGCCTCGGTCGCAAGGACCTCTTCCTACGCGCTCTTCGCGTGAGCAAACAGCGAGAAGACTGGTCCACTGTATATCGACTATGCAAGGATTGCCTGACAGCAACTGACGATGGTCCTGGGGTCAGACTCTTTGCCTGCGACTGGAATGTGTGGCAAGACTTCCTCGCTGCTGCTGGGCAGCTCAAACAAGCTCGACCAGAGTAAGTCCCGAACGCCGTGTCTTCGAAGCAAGCAATCAATGCTGACTTGCATTGCCAGGGTGATTTCCGAGATTGTGTCTCTTCTCGACCAATTCTCTGCCTCCGAAACGGTTCGCCCTATTTATTTACGCAATATCCTCCTGGCCCGTGTTGCTGCTTCTTTCCAACTTGGCACTTCTGATCTTACAAACAATGATGCTTTTCTTCCAAGATCAGAAGAGCTACAACGCTACATAGAGAGCCAGTGCTCCTCTCCAGCGTGTTTCGACGATATCAAACGGTTTGTGGAGCAACTTGACCCAGAGGAAATGAAGAGCCTCGCCTTCGAATACGTTCCTCATCTGGCAGAGAGACAACAAGATCCCTTGCATACAGCAATTGTGAAGACTCTGGCGTATCAGCTTCAGTACCTGATCCTTACTGCTCCTAATCTGGTAGTGCAGATTCCGGTTGCAGCTGATGCCAAGCCAAGATGGAAGTCCGTCATCAACGGTGTTGAAGGCGAGTCGGAGACCTGTTCTGAGAGATTCCAAGGCGTTGCTGAATCGGCGGCTTCGCTGTATCGCGCCCTTGTAGGCTCAATTGGGTCCTCCGATGGCCAGGACCCCGACTGTGTTCCAGAGCTTGCTATTCTCACAGCCACAGCCCTGATCAAGCTCAGCGGTCTACGAGCTGACCGCAGCAATCACCTCCCTTCGCCGCTCCACGTTGCGCAAAGTGATCAGGTCCTCCAAGCTGCCCTCATACTGGAATACCAACTCACGAGGACTCCAAAGCACAGCCGCGTTACGCTACTCCTCGTTCGCATTCATCTCATCTTGGGTACCATCTCGAGGGCAAAGGAGTTATGGGCCACAATGGACGTCAAGCGGACGATTATTGACTCGCTCAGCCCCTATTTCCTCGATCGACTTTCTACGCTTTCTCCCGCTGCGGTGCTTCCCGTACCGAATAGACCTCAACAAGCAATGACCTACGGTCTCAAGGCTTACTACGGCACTTCCCTGAAGTTGAGGATGCCGCGACGTCTAGCTGACGCCTTCCAATCTGAGAGCTACTCAAGTATCCTTGAGATCCCTGTATTTATCGACCGCCTACGGATAAGTTGCACCTTGGCAATGGGTTACATCGAGGAACTCCGGGCGACTCGTGCTCTGGGCCATAAGGGCACTCCTATCTCTGATGAGGACTACATCAGTGAGTGGTAACTCTTTGTGGTGAATGATCATCCCGAGGGCTAATTTTGTGACTAGACGAGATCACACCCGCGACACAACTGACGGAGGTCATCGATTATGGATCTGTGCCTAACCTGCACGTCAGCACAGCGCAACCTGTTTACGAAGTCCTGCAGATCGGACCCAGCCCATCGGTTCGTTCGTCTCTTCTGCAAAGTCTTTCCCATTTACTAACGCGAACTAGAACGCACGCACGCACCTTGCCATTGTTACTGAGAAATACTTCGAGGTCCTCTCGTACAAGCCACCATCGGCATACAAGCCAGCAAACCCGAGCCAGGCCACAGCGGTAGATAACATCTTTGTCACTGAGAGCCTGCAGCAACTCAGCAACACCGCCGCCAAGTTCCTCCGAGGTCGGGAGACTGCCAAGTACACCGCCCAGGAACATACCTTCTTCGAACTCATCTCCCTTCTGACCACCCTCGCCCCCCTCGCCACGTCGTCAGACCGCAGCGATGCCTCCGCGTCTGTCCTCTCGCAGGTCGCTTCTGCCGTGTCTGTCGCACTGGACACCTTACTCGAATCAACGTTGTCGCTTCCCTCGGGAGACCGGGACATCAACCCTGTGCTGATGCTGAGCTCTCTGCATGGGCTGTTCCACCTCCGTGATGCCGCTGCGGCGATCAGGCTCACGACGTCGTACATTACCAGCTTCAATGAGAATGAAAGGGCGCGAGATAAGTCTGGCCAGAGCTGTCTTCCGAAAGAGACGCTGGCGCATGCTAAGGCGCTCGACAGCGCGGCTGCCAAAGCTTTCACCGAGGGCAAGGCACGGATCGCGCTGCTGAAGAAAGAACTGGTCAGCGGTAACCTGGAAAGTCGATTGGGATCCTGGACCACGGCTCAATCTTCGGATGACTCGTTGGCGAAGGAGATTCGGGCAGCGGTCGGCGACGGCTTTGACGACTGGAAGAGAATCGTAGCCGATTCTTGGCGGACGAATGTCAAGGGCTGGGAATTGGTCAAGTGGGAATAAAAAAAGAACAGGAGGAGGGACGGCGTGCATCTAAGAGCAACTCATAGACTCGGCATTGCGAGACGATCTTTCCGAAAGCTGGCTTTTTTGAACATAATGGCACCCACCAAAAGCCGAAATCATCGCAATGCAACCTCCTAATTTTTCCCTTTCCCGCGTGGACCAACCGTAGCTCCCGAACAACTCCCTGAAATGCAAATATCATATCGAACGTCGAGTCCTCATGTCCGTTGTGTCCCGAATCTCAATCCATGTTGCGCAGAGAGCTGTTGCTCTGCTTCAAGCTCTTCTTGACAACCTCGGTGCGCTCTTCCCGCAGCGTCACCCATGCCCAGAACCAGCTGACCATTTCGACAAACATGAACGTGAAGAAAACCGAGTTCTTCCACCCATCGCCTCCCCAGGCGGAGGGCGTGTAGTGTGGGTTATGCGATCGGACGGCGTCGCGCATGGAGCCCTCTCGGTAGAGCGGCGAGGAAGGGCCGGCAATGAGCGTGTAGAAGACGAAGCCGAGGGCGATGCTGAGACGGAGGGGAGCTGTGTACAGACATGGTTAGCGGAGAGCTCACGACGAGTGAAATGACAGCGCGCGACGGACCTTGGGTGCCCCAGTAGTAAAGAAGGCTAATCTCCTCAGGCATGCTCAGGGTCATCAGATCGGAGATGCCCATAAAGATGAGGAGGGCGGCGACGAAGGCCAAGGGCGCGGAGCGGGATTCGAAGCTTCGGTCGGAGGGCTGCAGAGACAGCGTCAGCGATCTCTATCTGGCATCATAGGGAGGTATGATCGGGGTGCTTACCATGCCCATGGAGCCTCCGAGGATGAATACCAGACCCTGGTCGGCGATGGTGCTGGGGTTTGTGAGGAAGTAAAAGCCCAGTGTAATGTGGAAGAAGCACAGGGACGTGATAATCGTCCTGGTTGAAATGAGCGCCATCTTGGGAAACTGGACCTTCGTAACGAATAGGACGTATGCTGGTGATTGAATCGACGGCTTGCACGGAGCAGCTTTCGCGATCGAGGAGCTAAGCTTGGAGTCGTGGCTCGAGGGTGGAGCAGGGAAGGTATTGAATTAGCGTCGTTCTGTCGTTTGACACACAGCCACGCCTCTGAGCCACACCGTTCCTTTGGGTGATGGCACGAACTGATGATATAGTACGTCACAACCTCACCAGATCCCCAATCCACGTCTGGCCTGTTTTCCGTACGGATACATGTAAATCGACACTCTTCCATGGAGAGTTGCTCCTAATGGAAACTAGGCAATCAGAAAATATCTTGGCATCATGGCACTCCTTGTGCGGCTGGAGAGCGAGACCTCATGGCTCCCAATTACTCAAGCGACGACGATGTCCTGATATCGACCAGCGTTGGCCTATTAACACATCAACCCAAGGCAAAGGTGCAGCCGGTCGCTTGTCCTATTTCCTATTATTGTGCATATCAAGCGCCCCAGCACCCAATCAACTGCAATACCTTGCCATACATCGAAAATTACTCAGCTTGTCCGTCAACCCCGCATCTCAGCAGGTAGGTCGAAATCACATCGTGAGGGACTCGACGATGCGTGTGTTTCCAGTGCATCGACAATAGGCTGTATCTCAGGGCGCGCAAATCGCCCGCAAGATCCAGGTAATGCACACGACATGGACTGGGGTGCACTCTCCAAAGCGATGCGAAATGATCGCGGCAAGGATAAAGATAAGTCATCGACCGATTATGGCTTACACACTCTGGTCCCCAAGGACAGCAAGTCGCCCGAACTCATCGACGTCGTTGCCATCCATGGCCTGAACGGGCATTTCTTGAAGACTTGGACTGATCCGAATACGGGCGTCAATTGGCTAAAAGATCTTGTTCCCAAGTTTCTCCCGTCAGCCCGCGTCATGTCATTCTGGTACAATTCTCAGGTCCAATTCAGCAAATCTACCGCAGACATTCATGCCTTTTCGCAGCAACTTTTGGAGAGTCTCATGGCCGAGAGAGAGTCTATGGAGGAACAAGACCGACCGCTCATCTTCATCTGCCATTCACTCGGCGGTCTCGTCTTCAAGCAGGCTGCAATCAAAGCCCACGAGAATGAGAGGTACCGTGATGCTCTGTCGTTCCGCTTTCACGGTGTCATGTTCTTTGGCACTCCACATCGCGGCTCGAATTTAGCAACGTGGGCGTCCGTCACTGCGAATGCCCTTCGCGCTGTCTCTTTCAGCACGAGTACCAATGCCCGCCTGGCAAAAGACCTGGAACCGACTTCGAGGTTGCTGCAGCACATCTCCACCTCGTTTGTCGACTCATGTGGTGCCAAGTTGAAAACAGCATCGTTTTACGAGACCCGGAAAATGGACTTTCTGAACTGTCTTGTGAGTAGTGTCACAGCAACAGATATTCTCTGGATCCGCAGTCTGAACAAACAGGATGCGGGTGCGCTGACGACAAGCCTATAGGTCGTCGAGCCCGAATCGGCCATTTTAAACATCATCGGTGAGACCAGAATCGCTCTGGAGCGCGATCACCGGACGATATGCCACTTTGCCGACCTTGATGCCGCACAATTCGCCCCAGTCAAGTCAACACTGAGATCTATGGCTGACTCGGCCACCGCCAGTAAGACGCTATCTAAATACGAGATTGAGTCATTCCTGCAAACTATCAACGTTTCTGACTACGCCGGCCACAAAAGTCGGAATGCGCCACCCGTTCAGGGTACATGTACCTGGATTTTCGACCACCCCAAATACCTGTCCTGGATTGAGAGCCCAGACCCGGGGCTCCTTTGGGTCTCTGCCGACCCTGGCTGTGGAAAATCAGTGTTAGCTTCGTTCCTTGTCAACCAGCTGCAGGCATCTGCAGATCTCGCGAATATCAATGTCTGCTACTTCTTTTTCAAATCGGATAGTTTGGAGCAGTTGAGTGCGGTTACAGGAATCAAAACTCTCTTGTACCAGCTCTGCAAGCAACAAAACGAACTCGCAGCTTCGGCCATGTCGATACTCTACAATGGTGGATTGGAAGACGTAGACAGCCTTTGGCAAGCTATCGTGTACGCTACCCGCCAGAAAGCTGCCAAAAATACCATCTGCATTCTCGACGGCCTGGACGAGTGTGAGATTGAATTACGGGGTCGACTAATGCGGCAGGTCACGGCGTCCTTTTCGAAAGTCGAGTCGGCTGAGGCAACATCAGGCGAGAAAGCAGAGGCCGATCCTGGCGATATAAACAAACGACGATCAAAGCCGGGACGACCCAAGCTCAAAGTATTCGTGACCAGCCGTCCTGAGAATCAGCTCAAGATAGCATTTCAGAGCAATGCCAACAGGTTCAAAGCGGACGGCGGAGAGTCCGACGGTAATTGCGCTTTGATTCGCTTACGCGGCGAAGACGAGACGGATGCTATCAGTGCCGACATCAACAGAGTTATCAGATCCAAGGTTGACGAGCTCATCCACCAGGGGCTCCCCTTTCAGCTACTACAAACTGTCCAGGCAGAGCTCGTTGAGCGCGCCGACCGAACATTCCTTTGGGTGTCCTTGATTCTTGACTTGTTGGAGCAAAAGGTGGAAGCCGGTGCATCACAGCGAGAGCTTGATGAGCTTCTGCGAAACAAAGATATCTTTCGCATATATCGTGAGCTTCTTCAGCTTCGTTCGGAATCACCTCGAGCAAGAAAGATGCTGCAAATCATCCTCGGAGCGACCCGCCCTCTCACGGTTGACGAACTGAGTATTGCATTGGCTGTCGAGCCTGAGCCTGATAAGCCGCGCAGGGGAAGCAGAACCCTGGACGATGTTGAGTATGAGCTTGCGTATCCCTTTGAAAACCACATCAAGTCGCTTTGTGGGCACTTCATTCGAATAATCCGTGAGAGGATCTATCTCGTGCACGAGACGGCCCGAGAGTTTCTGCTCACAATGGAGAGTGAGACAGGCTCTGCGGCAACATCTCGAAGGCCGTCTGTTTCAGGTACAGACGCACCGCCACCGCTGTCCAGCATTATGCCATCTGAAAGCTCGCCGGCTCAATTGGCATTCCAGCACTCATTCTCCCTGGCCGATGCCCACAGGCTTCTTCTTGGCATCTGCACCACATACATCTACTGCTTAGGGCGGCCGAGCCGATGCGCAACAACAGGGTCAGCTAGCAAGAAGACCGAGGTCTTCCTAGACTATGCGGCAAAATATTGGACGGTCCATTTTCACCAGACAATGCAGAGCCGCCGCGTGGCCTCTCCCAATATGGAGTACCACCAGAATCTCTGCCATCCATTGTTCCCGGGGTTCAAGACCTGGGTCGGGGCATTTTGGTTCCCGAATCTAGCGCCAGTCGTGCCGGATAGCGAGGAGGGGCAGGATTACTACATTGAGCTCTTCCAGTTGTATCACCCAGGCGAAGAACGCGACCACTTGCACAGCCAGAGTGATTTTCTTGGGGGCCAGCTAGACGAAAGCGACGACAGTGATGTTGAGGGAGCACTTGACATGTTTGGCGCGGACGAGAAAGTGGCGCCATCGAAGCTCCTGCGTACTGATGTGGTTCCGGTTCAGAAGCACAACGACCACAAGAATCGTTCGGCAGATCGACATCGCACAGCCAGGCTACTGGACGCTGCGATTTCGAATCCCACTTCGCTCAGAACCAACTTATTTCCTCTCGAGGTCGACAAGAGTGGTCATGTTTCACTGGCTTTCCAGGATTGGCTGCACAACGGGCCTAAAAGTTCGCGAAGAGGCTAAGCAGGACTGCAACAGCGCGCTGTGGCGTTCTGAGGCCCTCGGTGTCGTCAGATGATGCAGAGCATAGGTCGCCAGCGAAGTTGTTTTATCTCCTTTTGGGGTCATCAGGAAGCTTTTCTCAGGAATCTGGGTGTTCCTATATGCTTGGTTGCATCCTGACGGGAACGCGACAATGCGTGAGACCCTACTCTGGCGCGGAACGGGCTGCTGCGTTGAAGCGTCTACAACTTCCTCTAAGCAGAGGCCACGCTTGTCGGAGGCCTGGTCACGAGGGCGCTCCCATGAGAGTATGTTTGAAGGATGCAGTCCCATATTTGATTCATCCTGGCCCTTTCTCCCCCCATGATGATAACCCGTGTACTGCGTGTGGTTAGATCTGTAGGTATGGAGTGCAGAATCCCCAGTGGGTGGTAAAGATGGCTCGAGTTCCAAGTCTCCCATAGTACGCATAGATACCATGCATTTTCCAAAGCAGGATGCCAAAGCTGTCAAACCAGAAGATATGTCAGTTGTACATCTTTACCTGCAAGTTAAGATGACTGGGCTGCGTGTGTTAAAAGGGGCCGTTTTCCATGCAATCTTCTCGAAGGAGGTCAAAGACCCGTGGGGACTGGCCCCACTGATCAACCCCCACAGCACGGTCGTGAGCTCTAATTCCACACTTGCAAGGCTACTCTAGCTTCTCTACCAGCCAGAGTAAGGTCGGTAGCTACTAGCCTAGCATAGATAATCAATTGGGTGACGAGTGGCGCGCTTAGCAAGGCTGTCGAGTGCAAAGCTCAGGTGGGGTCGTAAATGTCTCGACACCACGAGTCGATTCACTGATTATGAATCGTCGCAGACCACTGGAACTGTTGCACCAACGAGGGCAGCACGTCCCGACCGTAGCCTACTCGTCGTAGCTCTACACCTCTCTTCCTCAACTCCCCAGTTCAGGCCCGAGTCTTCGTCCGACCACGTACAACCCACGAAACATGGCCGACCCCGCGGAACAAGCTCCCCTCGATAAGGAGCGCCATCTCCGCTACTGGCAGCGCTGCTACCGCAGCTTCCTCCCGACCCAGTACACGAGCCACGACAGCATCCGCATGGCCCTCGGCTTCTTCATCGTCGCCGCCTTTGATATCCTCTCGCCGGCCACATCCTCGGGTGAACCGCACGCCCTCACGCCGTCCGACCGCGCCAAGATCCGCAAGTGGGTGCTGAG